CAACAAAAAAATAATCAACGAATTCGCTGGAAAGCCCCAAAGTTGAATGCTTGCTGGTTGTCGGTCGAATGTCAGGAATGACAGCGAAATAGAATGAATGGGTTACAAATATGGGTTAGTTGCAGTACATTTAATCATTTTCCTGTTTGAGTTTACTATTCGCAGTGTTTTTTCGCTTTTGACTCTGTTGGTTTTATAGTTTGGAGAAATATTTTCATTGCTAGAGTTTAATATGCACACAAAACATTACGTTGGAGTTTGTAAATTTAGTTCAAAGTAAGTCCTTAATTTGATATATGAAACTTTAAACAAGTCTTAAATATATAAATTACCTATTAAAAACCATTTTCAGTTAAAAACATATTTTTTATTTGCCCTAAAAAAGTATTTAATTCATGTTGACAATTATGTACATGCAAATGCTGTTATTTTCTAATATAAAACCACGGAGCTGAACAATTGTATTATTTGTGTCAATAATTTTCGTTTGTATTTTATGAGCTACATTTTAGGAATACGATCAAAATCAATAGCACTAATCCTTTAGTTTCGATTTGTATCTCTCTGTAAATATTACTATAAATCTCACAAAAGGAGATTGATTCCCCAGTTGTAATATGTGTGGCTTATTAAATTCCCTTACTTACATTACTCTACTCGAAATAAAATTAAGATTTATAACCTTTGCTGGATACCGATTATTTATTTATTTATTTATTTCGATTAATTGCAAGCTGGCCATTGCTGTTCTACAATGTCAAACCACTATCACCTAAATTTGCTGAGCTTAACCAATTTAATCTTGCCCGCAAAAGACGGTTGAATAAATTTGCGACTTAATTACAGTTTTACACGCACCGCGGCCTCTCAAACTGCAGCGCATTCATAAATGCGAATTTGTTGCACTATTAACGAGAATTTACTCACTACGCAAGCTGCAAATTATCTAGTGCTTGCTCTTTCTTCTTCTTTTTTCCTGGAACTTGGTCCTGCGGCAGGCTGGGTGTCCTTGGGTCGGCAGGTGGCGCGAGTCGAGTTGCCACGCCGGCCAGCAGGTGGCGCAGGGACTTTTACTCGGTTTTAATAACGCTCGCCTTGATGATGTTAATAATGTTGCTGGGCGATTACCATTTACGGCGCTTGTTGTTCTGGCTGTGGACCTGCCACTGTTGCCAAGGCTGCACCTCCAGGACCTGCCGCATCGTTGGAGAAGAATGGAGAAGGGCGGGAGCTACTGCCCGCGGTGCCGCAGAGTGTTGCCAGTAATTGCAATTTGTTGCCCTGCTGCAGCAATCTAAGTTGGATTCTCATTAGGGACTCCAAAGCCAGGGCGAAATCCGCGTCGTGTTGCCCAAACTGTCAGCTCAGACTTTCAGCAAGTCCTTAATCGAAGTCCTGTCAATCGGAGACAGGACCACTCAAAACCGCAATAAAGCGAAGCGATTGCGACTCGCAAATTCAATTAATTAATCCCCGAACGGGGAGATGCGCCGATAAGGAGGAGCACGTAGCCACTGCAGGATAACTTGGCATGTGGCATGCATCATGCGTCATGCACCATACACCATGCACCATTAGAACGGCAGCGTCGCTCCGACTATTGTTATTTCGTATTTGAACAAACGCTGCCAACTGCAGCTCCCCGAAAATCGTTATAAAACATTCGCCGTCGACTTTGACAGCTCGTACTCCTCGCCATGCAAATGCCAGGCACGTTGCCGACAGGGGGGCGTGGCAGCAGGCCAGGCCCGAAGCCAAAAAGGATGTGCCGGCGAAAGGTGCCACGGATGTTCGATTGATGGTGGCAGCTTCCAGTTTTCAGCTCCCAGATGCGAGATGGAGTCGCTGGAGCGGATGCGCTGCGACAATATGCTGAAGCAGCGCTAATTTTTTCTTATTTTTCTGGCAGCTTACGTGCCAGCCACGCCCACCGAAAAAGTAGGAGGCACCATAAGCAGTACACCCAGAGAAAAGAAATTCAAAAAAAAACGTTCCGTTTTTTTATTGTGGCTTTTGAGTCATATAACTTTTATTTTTGGGAACAATAAACTTTACCAACTTGAGAAATTTAAGCTTAATCTGCTACTGACATTTATAGTCTTGAGAAAAATATTCAAATCAAAGAATGGTACAAATAGATATTTTTATTGCACATGCTGTTACTAAATCTAACTCTTACTTTCATCTTCTGTGTCAATACCAACAAACTATAACGGGATGTTTCATAAATCTCTTCCAAACAATTTGTTAGTCCATACAGTTGCGAATAAAATTCAGGCACTAACTTGGTTTCTAGATTTTCCTCGGTGCACGATAACCATAAAGCAAAGTTAAAGCTGCGTGTGTGTGAGCGGAAATAATAATCGTCAAATTAATACGCGTCGGGAATTTCGCAAGGCTCCAAAACGCTGCTTGGCAACCCTGGAGGCCTTGTCTGACCCGCCAAATCCCGAATACGTGCGAGCATTTAAAGCAAAAACAAATAAAACTTAAGTGCTGCATGTGTGAAAATGTCGGGCGTTCTGGCAATCGGATCCGGCCCACTCAGGTGTCCCTGGTCCCAGCCCCTGCCCCTAGTTAATCCGATCCCCGGCTGCTTAATCAGCTCCGGCTGCTTGCCAAAGATAGCCGGGCGAAACGAATCTTGAAATCGGGGGCAACGGGGCCGGGACGCACATACATCACTTGGCCAGAAGAGCGGTCGGGGCCATCAAATTTCAGTCATAACAATAACACTGATAGTCCCCGCTCGTAAAATAAGACCCGGCCAACCCTTTTTCGGCAAGCTGGCCGGGATTTGTTGCTGTCCTCATGTGTCTTGCTGGCCGGGATGGGTTGTTGTTTCAGCCCCGGCTTGGAAAACAATCAAGAGAACGCGACACTAAAAACCACGCACGTTTTGGCCCTCATCCTCGAGCGTAGACACAGAAATTCGACAATGGCACTTGACGTTCCAGGCGCTGCGAGGAGGGGTCATGTTCAGACAAAGGGGGCGACGGAGGGCGGCAGGTCAAAGGGCGACGCCTAAAGCATTTAAATCCTTTTCGCACTTTCGGCTGTCAGTCGCTGCTCGTCCCCTTGCTCCGCCAGCTTGTTGCGTGTGAATTTCCATTTCGACTATTTCCGGGGACCACACTGCGTATGACGTATGGAATGAAGAGGATTTGCGTGGAAATGCCACTGGAGGTGGGGCCTCACGCTTAATTTTTGGCCTCGTCGTTTTTAGTGGGGCATACGGCCGTAAAATAGGAATTTGCTTTATTAAAATTTTTCGCTTCAAAAATATGAGACAGAGCAGAGCGATGAAAACAGCGAGAATTCGTACATAGGCAGCCGAGGGCGCCAAGGACTTCGGTAGGGGTTCCTTCGCCCCCGGAACGAGGTAAAAATTTACTCAACTATGAACTCCCCAAGCCAACATGTGTGTGTGTGTGTATGTGTGTGTGTGCGTGCGGGGAAATAGGCAAAAATTTGCGACAGGCCGAAGGTTATGTTGATCCTTGTCTGTTGGGGCTGTTCCTGGCACACTGGCATCCTGGCAAGGGTTCTGGTTCTGGTTCTGGTTTTCGGCGCTAGCTTTCGTCTGGGCCTGACAGATGCCAACCCCTACAGCCCGCTCCCTCGTGTAACAACGAAATTTATATAAATTGCCCGTAATGCTGCTGGCTGTTCGACAACAACAACAACAACAACAAAAACAACAAGAACATCAATCCAGAGGGCGGAGGGACGGGTAAATTGTTGTTGATTCCCAGCTTGTTCCCTTCACATTCTTTTGCCAAACAAATTATGTACGAAAAAGGCAAAATAATGAAATCGTAAAGAGTTTGGCATCGAATGAGTTCCTAACCCGGCTGCTCTGTGATATTTTTCTTATTTAAAATTCATTTCTTTCCCACCACCCACTCGAACCCATCACTTTGCCACCCCATCCTGTCCCGTCCTAACCATTCCCATCCCCATTCCCATCCCCATGCCCTCACAGACATGATGCGTATGCAAATTGCTGGCCATATTAATCATTGCCAGTTGGTAGCGCCAGAGCTAAGTTTTGTTTTATTTCCCTTTTTTCACAACGAGAAAGTGCCGGAGGGGAAAGCAGGGGAGTGGACTGCACAGATTTAAAACTGCATTTCGTTGCTTATAAATAAACAGACCCCGCCCGGGCGCAAGAAATAGTCTCTGCTGGAAAATTTATGAAAGCGCGAATAAAATGCTCGTTTCACGGGGGGCGGCAGTGGGCGGCGAGTGGAAAATGGCATTTTGGGGGGTTTTAGGACACTAAAAACAAGTGCAGCTGCCTCGGCTGACGACCGTCGCGTTAAATGCTTTTGTTGATTTTAGATGCGCGACTGCCGCGGGGAAAGCCACCACCACCCACAAACTCGCACAATTTAATAGTTTCGGCGGCAAGAAATGAACTCCACAACTGCAGCAGTCTGCAATGTGTCTTGGCAAACAGACACGGACAGAGGACCACGGACAACGGACAACGGACAGCAGACAGCGGACAGCGGACACGGATACGGACCACACCCACAATTGGCTTTTGTGGCACGGCAAACGCGCTTTTTCGTTTTGGGTCCGGGAAATGTGTTTGTTTTTCATTAAAAAAGAACGGAACGAGCGTTTCTGGCCAAGTTTTTGTGCCCAGTTCTTTTTGAAGGCAGCTGGAAACGGTCAAAGTTCGTCCGCGGAGCCCGGGGCTCGGGCGGAAAGAGCTCTGCGGAATGTCCTGTTTTATTGCGGTCGGGATTCGCTTTGACTGGGCCCCAGGCCATGGGCAGCACTGGGCACTCAGCACTGGGCACTGGGATCGCGGACTTTGAGTAAACACATATTTCATAATTCATCATACGGCGCTGCGATAGAAAGTCACGTTTTTAATAGAGGACCCAGCGGACGCACAGACCAGAGACAACAAATGGCCGCGAGGACAATTAATTAAGTGCATCGCTAATGAATCATTCTCCCTCTCTCTCTTTCTCTCTCCCTTTCAGCTGTCATCGTCCTGGCCAGCGCCCCCGCCCCCAGCCACGCCCAGCAGCAGAAGTTCCGCACCACGCCGCACGACCTGCAGGTCCTGGAAGGAGCCGAGGCCATGATGCGCTGCGAGGTGGCCAACGTGGCCGGGGCGGTCCAGTGGACCAAGGACGGCTTCGCACTGGGCTTCTCGGCGGTGATCCCCGGCTTCCCGCGCTACTCCGTTCTGGGCGACCGGAAGCAGGGCACCTACAACCTGCGCATCTCGAACGCCTCGATCAACGACGACGCCGACTACCAGTGCCAGGTGGGACCTGCCCGGCTCAACAGCGCGATCCGAGCCAATGCCAAGCTGACCGTCATATGTGAGTATTTATTTATTTAATTATTTCTACGCTTTGAGTACAAAACTAAGACACAGGAAAAGTGTTAGGCACAGCTGCTAGGGCTTTCGGATTAGTAAAATGTCATGTCATAAGTATGTGAGTACTATGTTCCTCTTTTACTATTGTAAAAAAGATATGTGCAGATTTGGAAAATGGGTTTCCTGAATCTTCTTCTTTTGATTACCTTATGTCGTTCGTATGTTGCTGTCAGAGAAAGTTAACATGAATTCAAATTCATAAAACGTTAGAAAATCCGTAAATTCAACCCTGAAATAGAGAAGTAGGCTAACGTTTTTCGTTACTTTCTTTTTGCCGACCGACTAATTTTAACTACAACATTTCCTCTTGATCAAATTTTTAATTAATATAAGCTATAACAGTATATTAAGAAATTTTTCACAAACAGACATTTTAAATCATTGAGAAATTAATGGGCGTAACAAGATAAGAATGTCACACCTTCAACATAATAACCATTTTTTACTTTGTTCAATTGAAATTATAATAACATTACATAGAAGATTAAACTAGTTTGATTATGCTCAAGTTTTCAATATATAAAACATTTACTTACAATCACTACAACTTATAACGACTTTAAAATTTATTTACAAAAGTGATAGAATTTGTTTTAATTTGTATCACGGATTTGTATTATTATTAAAATTAAAATGGCAACCATTTTCCTAAAAACTTAATACCTAAGCAAGCTTCCCATTGAGCTTCTAAGAAATTTGAAACCTTTGAATTTTTTAACAATTTAGTTTGTGAACAATATACGACTGTTCCTCTTGGCAGAATCCCACGAGCTCACCAGTACAAGGAGTACTCCTAACGGAAACCCGTTCGAAACCTACGTATATGCCGTAGCTTTAGGCCACCCACTCAATTGAATTTACCCCTTTTGTCAGGTTCGCCTTTTTCTGGGGGCTGCAATTAATTTAAGTAATAAATACAAATGAATTTGTCACCAGGGGCGCCCCACACACGTACGGTGGCACACATTCCTGCTGTTTCCTGCTCATTGCACCTATGGAATTCTACTAGTGAAATTTAAATGCGGGACCCCATCTCCCCCCACCATCGTCTCTGTCGCTGCCAACATTTATTGTCAGCAATTTGCAAAACAACAGCAGCAACAGCATCGCCAACAGGAGCTACAGCTCCACCGAGCTGAGCTGAATTTAGCGCAGTTTATTGCTCCAAGGAGCCAAAGCGGGCGGAAGAGCAGGGGGATGGGGTGGATAGTGGGGTGTATCTACACTGCAGGCTAGAGCGATGCGAAATGAATTCCTTTTTGTTTTAGCCTCTCGCTTTGCCTCGTTTTCGGCTGCTGCATTGTCGTCTAGCAATCACTTTGAATGTGCTGCTGCTGCTTTTGCTGTAATTGTAATCACTCAAGGAATTGCGCTACATTTGATGACAGCCAAATTCATTTGGCCCGCTTCGCCTGGTCCTTCCAAGGAATTTTTCAGAGACATCAAGAGACTCCATGGCTACCACTGCCTATATGTATAGCATACATTCCGGGGCCCAAGGCCCACGCACTCGAACACTCGCACACTCGCACACACGCGCAAACGCCTAATGACGTTTGTTTAGTTAATTACGCGCCATGAGCTGTGACAATGGCGATGTGTGTGTTCGAGGCCTTGGGCGGGGCAATAAAAAAACAGAGAGGGGGCGTTAGGACTGAGCGATACCCAGAAAGTGCACATCTTAAGGAATCATAAATACAACATGGGCACATAAGCAAACATAGTACTATAAGGTTGATATTCTAAAAACTACGGATGCTACAGAATTTCGATTAATTTTAGGAGGCATGCCAAAAAGTTGGTTTTATTATGACCTAAAATTTTGCCAACTTATAAAGTTAACTTAACTTGAACACAAAACGGAGAAAGTCATTTTGTTTTACTTTATCAATTTTGTTTACTATAAAACTATGAATAGAGTAAACAATTACAAAATTTCTAAAATGATGAAAGACATAACGGAAGCAAACTTCTGCAAGCCGAAATCAAGGTTTAATTTATAATACTTCGATTAAAATTTATAATCTTTAGAGCTCTAATATACCCTAGATCTCTCCGAATACCGTGTAAAAAATAAATAAAATAAAATAGGGAAAAAACCAAGAAAAACCAAGCTGGGGATGCTGCGGGAGGAGTTGGATTCTCGACCGAGCTTGTTAGTGCCTGCGAGTTGTTGTTGGAGCGGCGAAAGGTCGGTCGTCACATGGCATGTTTGTCATAATTGTGGATGCTTGTGTGAGTGTGCTCCCCACAGCAGGCCAACCCCCCGCTCCACCCAGCCACCATTGTTCTGTAATGGAATCTTCGTCTCGGCTTTCATAGCATGACATGTGTCTGTGCCCCAGTCCAAGGTATTTCGGCATTTGGGCATGCCAGGCGGAGGTGTGTGGGTGGGAGGCACGTGCGACATTATTGCTGCAATTAGCCAAAGGAAATGTGGACAAATGCCTAATAATTCAATTAAGTTCGAATTACATGTATTTGATTTATTCTGAACGGGGACTTTCCGATATTTATCTCCCGTGCGCATTCACGTTATATAAGAGTATTAATAAAGGGATATTTGCATAGCAAATAAAGTTTATACAAAATAATTGCCAGTGAAATAGTTTAAACAAAATTATTATAAAAGCCTTGAAAACACGCACTGATGTCTCCTTGGGCCAAATCTTAATAAGTGTATGCAAACTAATATTTATATGTGCTTGCAAAGAACTATAGAAATAAATATCTTGGGAAACAGCAATAATTAATAAAGTGTAAAACAAATATTCTTTAAACTTATGCATCGAGACAAACTATTATTCCTGTCTCCCCGATACCCAGACTTTCTCTCAATGTAATCTCCACTTGGAAGATATGATTTAATTAAAACTTTCTGCAGATAGTCTATTAAATATTAATAGCACTCACCTTTTGTCCTGCTCAAATTAAATTTTCAGGCTCCTTTGCAAAGTTTCTGCAGCAATTTGGGTGTAACACTGCCGTGCTTATGTTAAAGTTCCAAAAATTATTCCGCACTCCCACCAACATATTCGCATACATACATTTTCAAATATAGTACATACGTATATGGGGAAAAATAAACGTGAGGGCGCAATTAGATTATAAGTTTGGCAAAGCAAAGAACTTTTGCACACAAAAGTCCACGTGCAAATTTATGGAAATTCCCAGAAAATTTTCGCATGCCATTAATTTGGAATACAACAAAAAAAATAGAACAAAAAAACAAAGGAGCCAAAAACACATATGCCGCAAGGCAACTGCAAGGTCCAGTCCATGTCGGGGTCCGAATCCAAGAGCCAAAACTTTTTGCCGGGCGGCGGACAATGGCAACCGGCAAATGGAATGGCCGGAGAATGGAGGCACTTGCAGCAGCCACCTTCGAGCGTTTATAAATTTTTGACTACAATGCAGCCCGAATTTAAGTGGGATTTCCTTCCCGGCCAATAGACGCACTTCATTGATTTTCAAATGTCCGCACATTTTTCAAAAACACACCCACCCCAGTTGTAATTGAAGTGCAAATGAGGAAAGTTTTCATCTGCCGGCATTCCCCAGAAATATCGCCCCACATTAGTTATGTGGGGCTGACCTTAAAGTCAGCCCCGAGCGCCTTGGGTCGCACTCCGGGAGCGACTGGGCCTGATGGCTCAACTTACATCACAGCCAGCCAGGCAGCCAGCCCGCTCCCTTGGCCCGAAACGGAAAAATGGCCAATTCTTGCCTTCGCCTTGGATTGGGATTGGGCTGCAGTGGGCGGCTGGCTGGGTGGGCGGGGTGAGGGGGCTGGGAAAGTATTCCGGCGCATAAAACTTTTATGAGGCGTACTATTAGTGGGTTAGCCGGGTGTCGTTGCCCGAGGGGCGACTGCAGGGGAGGAGGTTGTCGGTCCAGTGTTCATGGCAAATTGCACTTTGTGTTCTCGCTCGCCAGGAATCCGGCAACTGGAGCTGGTTGGAGCACAAGCTCCGCCGCTGCCAGCGCCGTTATTGCAGCCATTGTTGCATAAATTATTTGATGCCAGTCAGCGGTGCACTCAAAAAAGCGCGCTGCACCACCTCCCCCAACTCAGATCCACCCACTCCCACCTCTGTCACGTGGGGCGCTGCCTATGCATAAAATTTAATCAGCATTTAACCCTAACCAAGCCAGCACTTTCGGCCGAATTTTTACCTTGAAACTAAGCCAGGACTGGCCAACTTATATTCCACTTTTTAACTACAGATTACTATCTCCTTTTTCATTATTTAGTATTCTGCCGAAGACAAAATACTCACTTTTACCTTGACAAGTATTTATGATTAATTTATTTGAAAAAACTTATTAATAGCACTTAAATTTGCTCGTATTACATTGTTGACACTTATTAACTGCAGATTACTTTTTTTTTCTTCTTTTTCTATGCAGTTGTTTTAGAAATAACTGTACCAAATGTTTTCTTTTCTGTCAAGTGCTATCGCGAGCAAGTATATATTTAATGTGATTGATTAATATTCTTTTCAAACTAGTCTCACAGCTCCATTTACACCGACATTTTTGTTGCCTAGCAGCTTTTCTAGACCACTGAGCCCTCTTGTTGTTCCCCTTGAAATAGTTCCACCTGCTCGATTGTCAATAATCAAATACAATATGCATACCAATCAACAATGCACATACCCCGCGTTCCAGTCCACACGCACATACATATGTACCTCCATCCATGTAGATATAGATATGTCGGTCCAGAATGACAGCCACGCTTTGGCATAAATCGAGCTGCATTTGCCAGTACTTGGCGCAAGAAAAATCATAAAATGTGAATATATTTCGGATTTTAACTATGCAGCACGCGCAGTTCCAACTCCCTGCCCGGCGCCCCCTCAAAAGCCCTGCCACGGTGTGCCAAATATTATGAATTTCCACTGCACGTAACACCCCCGAAAGTCCACGGACCATCTGTATAGCCTGCGGAGCCACGGCGACACCAATTCCGGCACACAAAGCCTTTAGTCAAGGCTGATGCTGGATGCTGGATGCAGGATGCAGGATGATCTGGGGCTGCCATTGGCATTTCCTCAGGCAGATGGGCCTCGCCCGGCATAACAAGCGACGCATCTGCAGCCTTGAACAAAATAAATCCAAAAATTGTCAAAATCTATATGTTCTTTGGGGTATTTTTTTCACAGCCAATAGATGGCAAGTTAATTAAAGAAGAACTGAAATAAAAGATTTATTAAAGGGTTTTAAGAATTTAAAATATAAAATAGTTCCAGTGGGAATTTTGCCTATGTGATTGTTTTTAGAGAAAGCCGGGAAATCGGCGTTCAGGTGTGTTCCAGATTTTAAGCAAGACCAATAGCAAAATCCTCAAGAGATTATCAAAAAGTGTTTTAAAATAAACTCCATATATTTCGTACATGGTATTCGTTTACACGAAGAATTATTATTAAAGTCATTTTACCTCTGGGTACGTTTGTTAATAAACCGGAAAATCCTCACCTTTTACGTCACAATGCCATTGTGAAGAAGACTAATATCGGAATTCCTGATTTGGAAATTACATTCATGTATTTGATTTGATTCATAATAATTTGCGCAGCTGGCGGCGATGCCAAACTAAACTTAATCAAAGGGAGAGGGGCATCGCCCTTGCGGTGTTGATTTCATTTGTGTCGCAACAAAAGCAATTACCTCTACGAAGAACGATGTCTCAGATACGGCACCTCCTGCGAACCACCCACCCAAGCCCCCCTCCCCATCGGAACCAAGGGACTCCTTGTGCGACATTAAGCATTCATTTTGCATGCAACAACTTCTGGAGCAGTTCGCGAGCAGACGGCAACATATGTTGCATGTCAAATGCAGGACTCAGGACTCCCTAAGCCAACTCCCTCGCGCGGTTGGAAGTGGGTCGGGAGTGGAGCCTGCTCCTCCCCCAACTCCTACTCCTTTTGCCGCAATGGCAATGGCAGCCAAACTCCTTCAGGTGGCATTAAAATAATGCACACGTGCACTTAACTTTATCCACGTTTCTCGTTGTTTGTTTCGTTGCACGCTCGTACTTTCGTTGGTTCGTTTGCTTGTTTCTGCATCTGCTGCATTCATGCACCACCCACCGCGCACCACCCACTTCCACCCACTCGGCACCGCCCGGCGTCACTCAGCCATTGTTTCGCCGGTGGCTCGTGTATATTTCAACAGTTTGCCAAGGCATGCCGGCTCAGGCATGCTCCACATGCCCGCCCAGACCCTGCTCCCCCTTCCCCTCCCACATATATGTCCTCTCGAGCGCAAATATTGAAACTCATATTTGAGCACATTAACGAGGGAACTGCCTACACGGAGACAAACAATCAGAGCTATTAAAGTTTAATATTCAGACCCTACTTAACTGATACATTTTTGCTTTTAATGTTTACGAATCATTTTTTTAGTTTGAAAAAATATACATCTTTATTATACGCTAAAGAATAACAACCTAGTTTGTACTAAAATTAGTCAAGGTTAAAACTGGTTAAGCTAAAAACATTTGACTAGAGGCAATATAAACACAATCAAAAAGTTCGCCTACTTTTCATTTTCAGGTTTGGCAGTCCGAATTTCTTATTGATTTCTGTAACAACAGATCCTTTAAGGATTTCTCGGTCGATCAGTTAACTTAAAATTGATAAATCAAATTGAACTCCCGAATAATTAGACTTTGTGTTAACTTTCTCTGACATTGAAATCTAGAACCTGGATATAAGATTGGAATACCGACCCATAACTCTACAAATTAAATATAAGATATATGTTGAATAAATCATTTTAAAAAGCAAAAAAAATTTGAACACTTAAAAATGTCGAAAAAACGAATGTCAATTGTAAGTATTTAGAAAACCAGTTAATTATTTGGAAAATACCTTAAACTGAATAGTGAGATTGACTATATTTTTTTGAGTGCATCAGCAGATGGGGCCGTTGAAGTGGGTGGTTAACAAGGACGGAATGCTGCGTTCTTGGTGCATTCTTGCCCAGCCTCCCTCTGCCCCTTCCCAATTCCGACTGCTGTTTCTGTTTCTGCATCGGCGGCCATTCAACCTGGGCCTTCAACAACAATGTCGTCTGTCGTCGCATACACACAATGCATTAGGCAGTGCCACGCCCACGACGCCCACAAAACGTCCTGTAATGCCATTGTGGCCCATAATGAGCAAAGCTTCCCAGGCAGCCATTAGCTTTTGTTTCGGCCTTCGCCACCACCCACAAAACACCACCCGCGAACTTCCTTTGTGGCCCAGCCCCTAATCGTTGCCACCTCTTCTCTTCCAGCTCCGCCAGCCTCGATCGAGATCAAAGGTTACAGCCACAATTCCAAGGTGGAGGTGCGCGAGAACCAGGACCTGCAACTCAAGTGCATCGTGGCCAATGCTAAGCCGGCGGCTCAAATCGTCTGGTATCGCGGCAATGTGGAATACAAACCAGGTTAGTACCAGTCGATGTTAATGCCACCAACTATGTCATTACTTTTAACGTTCATCCATGCACCATCAACCGCGGCCAAGATGGCTTTTATCACGCACCTGTCACTCAGGCGAAACTCTACTCATTTAAGAGAAAGATAACCAAAAGCTCAGAGTAAACAGGAAGAAAAAAACACTGCTAGGAAATATATTTTTAGTAATCACACAGCAAGATTGACATTAAATAATGAAATTAAATCTAATTTTTGGATCTATATAAAATCGCCAGAGAATTCCTTGTAACCCCTCAATAATACGAATAAATGTATGTCATTTGAATTAAAATATACAAAATAATATTATTTAATTTTTCGTTATCAAAGTTATCAAGATTAACAACTACTATTGAACAGATTTGCTTAGCTAAAATTAAACGGATCTTAAAATAATTAATTATTAAAATATACAAAGTGTAAGCCAAAGAGAAACAAAAGGAACGGACAATGCTTAGTAAAAGTAATAAAAAATAATAATAATATTTTATAACCCAGCCTTTTTCATATTCCAAGTTAGAAGAGATATCCAAGCCATATTAAACTGCCTAAAACAACATAGGTTATACGAACATAACAATATACATTTTCTCTTAGAAGGCATTATGCAGAATACAAAAAGTGTAAATGGGTTTTGGCCAGGCCCTTTTTAGCCGGGATAAGTGCGGATGAGGATGAGGATGGGGATGCGGATCAGGATGCGGATGGGGATGAGCCGGGCCCGTGAAGGTGGAGAACGAAGCGGACGGACGATGGCAGTGTAGATGGAGATGGGCAAAGTGACGCCTGTCAACCGTTTGGCCATCGCACATGTGATGGGGAAATGGACGTCGACTTTCGGCCTGATGACGGTGCTTAAATAATAATTTTATACTCCAACAAAGCGCCGACTGTCGATGTTCAGCCCTTATCTGCTGTGTGGTTCGCTGTCCTGTCCTGTCCAGAGTCCTGGATCCTGTGTTTGTGCCTTGTCATTTAGCCGCTGCTGGGCAGTCAGCAAATTGGAAAACAGAGCTGCTGGAAAATATGGAAAATGCAAATGTCAATGGGGAAATGGGCTATGGGGATGGGGATGGGGACGCGAGCCGGGCGGCGAACCCATCACACGGCGCTTAACCGCCTTCTCGACTTTTAATTTTCATAATGATTATGGCCCCTACAACCGAACATGTGGGTGGACAAGGGTGTTCGGCGGTTGCCCCTTTCGGGTGGCGGATTTTCCGCTCCTTTCCTGCCATTTGGCCAGTAACGAAATCATTTTAGCACAACTGGCGCGTTAAAAATGCTTAAAATGTGAAACGCACGGCGACAGCGACGATGATGATGGAAATTTTTCGGGTAAACATATAAAAAACAAAAAAGAAAAAAGGAAAACAACACAGGCCAGGAAGAGAGAAGAAAATACGCAAAGCGGCGTTAAAATGTAGGAAAATCCGCAAGGAAATGTGGACAGCGGAAGGAAGCTGCATGATGAATTATGTTTATGACGCAATATGTTGCGGCAGGGACCTCGCCGGACCCCATCCCATAGATCCCTCGGTCCGGGGTTTGCGAGAATGGCCAGTTTCGGTCCGGGGCTTGTATCATTTGCAAGCTGTCGGGGCGAGGGGACGTGTGTGGTGGGGACGCGTAAATGGCGGTTAATGTGGGCAGACGGCCATCTTGGTGATTACCCCCGGGCGGAACGGTGGTGGGGGTGGTGGTGATCCACCACGATAGTTGGGTGGCTGGGGCACATTTTTTAGGCCACACTTTTCGGCGCAGATGAGGCTCGTTCAAAATTTATAACTGAGAATGATGTCACAATGTGCTCTGGCTGGTGTGGGATTGATGAGCGTTGAGAAATACTCGTGTCTCAGGACATAAAAATTTAACACTGCCGTGTTATTATTATTTGCCAATACAGCCAAATTGTGCATTTTGTTTTTATAAAAAATGGGGAATGATAATATTTAAAATTTCAAAATGAATTACATTTTTTTTACCAATGAAGAGTGTATTTCAATTTCAGTCAAAAGTTTGCCACGAAGTGAAGAAGACATCAATTCGGGTATTCTTCTTCACCAGGTGAATCAATCTAGCCGTGATCTTAAACTAAACTCTCAAGAAATCAACTTTATAATTCATCGATATTATCCTATAACTCTTTTTGGAACAATCGGGAAAATAAATGAACGAAAAAACTATAGTTTATTTTTTTAATACCACAGATATTATCCAAGATATAGTAATAATTTCAGAATTAAGGTTTTAAGTTAAGGATGGAAACTGATTTAAGAAAATCATATTTAATCATTTTTAAACATGTATGCATTCAAATCGAAATATAGTTGTATTATAAGATATATACAAAAATTAATATTACCTGCAAAATTATAAAAACATCATCTCGCCGAAGTTTTCTTCCTCTAAATTTAACAAAATCAACACTGCTTATATCCTAACTGATAAAACAATTCCAAAATCTTCCTAAAATAAAACTCAGTACATAGAAATAAAATCATTGGTCATATTTATATTAAAGTTAATGCAAACACCTGTCAATCAACGGATATGCTTGGTTTTCTTTCAGAAAAAAGCGAGGATACCGTGGAGGAGTCGACGGCCAAGCGGTACACGACCACCTCGAGCCTAAAACTGAAGCCGGGACCCGACGACGACTACACGGAGTACACGTGCCAGGCGAAGCACAAGGCCCTGTCCCCGGACATGCCCATGCGGGCCACGGTTCAACTGTCCGTGTTGTGTGAGTAGCTTCTCAGCCCTTCCAGTCGCCATCTGCTGGGTGGTCCGGAAAAGACCCCGAGATTCGGGGTTCTTGTGGGTGACCTCATTAGCCGGCTCAATTTGCGATACAATTGAACGTGCGTGCAGGGGTGTGAGTGAGTGTGTATGTGGGGGAGTCCCCCAAGAGGGACAGGCTGCTACAGGATTCACTGAAAACAATCGTATTTGAAAGTCAGTATTCGTCCTTTTCAAAACATTATTTTCATACTGCAATGTACATTTTTATTGAGTCGATAATAGCTGCAATATTTTTTAAATATATTCTAAGAGGGATAAAGTTTCTGTGTGATTTTTCCAGCCCAATAAATCAGAAAGTGCAGCTTATTTCTCTTTTATATTTCACATTTTAAGATAACAACATTCAGCTTTGGATAAACTGCCTTCAAAATTGTCAAACTTTTTGTGAAATTTCCTAAGCAAAACATAAATAAAATTGACCTGGAGTTTTTTTCCCAGTGCAGGCAATGAATTTTTTGTGCAGACTCCATCGTTGTGGATGCCCGATGCGGATGCCATTTGCCATCACGGCCGCTAATTGCGCGATTCGGGCGCGTATTAATTAGTTTTTAAATTCTAATGTGCCGCGCAGCTGCCACTGCCGATGTGGATGCGAATTGCGAATGCGAATGCGAATTACGATGCTCCACGGAAGCGGGAGCCATTACGAATGCTAAAAGTCCTCTTATTGATTGTTGCCGTCGGCAGTGGTGGCCCCAGCGATGCCGATGGTGCCAGTGGTGCCGGTGGTTGCCTCCGGGCACCTGCAGTAGCCGGTAGCTATGGCGATGGCGATGGCGATGGCGACTGCTCCACCTGCACGCACATTCAAATTAATTATGTTTGTTATTTATGCATAGGCAGCTGGCAAAATGGTGGCCCGACTGCCACAGTTCGTTGGCCATTTCCAGTGCCCGACGCGATGTAATTGGCAAAAAAAATTGGGCAAAAATCGAGTTGCGCTATCCGGGAGTTCGGCCGGGGAAAAGGGTGAGAGAACGGAACACATCCCCTCTCATTTTCCCTTCCGGAGGGGGCTTAATTATGGCGCTATTATTGCATCCTCACTGCCTCATCTCGGACCTGGTCGTACAATATTTCAAGTGATTTTAATTTAATTTTCGCTGCATGCCTGCGGGGAAAGTGCGAGTGCGTCACGTGTGTGTGCATAAAAAGTGTGTGTGTGCTTGGCAGCTTTCATGCCTCACCTGATTGCTGCTGTTGATTCAATCCGGTAGACCGCTTGTCAAACTGTGATAAAGGAAATATATTACGGGCACATGGCTGCCGGCAGGAGTAAATGTGTTGACCAAGTTTCCCCCGCGGAATATCGATAGCCGATTGCTTTTGCTCTTTTCTAGTTAAAACCAATTATATTCCATCCGCTGATAAGTTTCAAATGTATTTAACACGCTATACTGCCTTGCGGCGGTTTACACTATTATTAATCGCCCAGTGCGACGCCCACAACAAGTGAAATTACCGACACCCCGAATCGGGGGACAAAAAAAGGCGGATTCGGAAAATAATGCATATGACCGCATAAACGATTTGCATGCAAACACTTCAATTAAAAACTGTACGAATTTCAGCTGCATATGCACACATGTGCGTTCCCCGCACCCTACTTTAGTGTAAATTGAATTTATTTGCGGACAGCAGTTGCAATTAAATATGCGAATTGTAAACACAGCAGACTGCCGGCATTCATTGGAGTATTTTTTTCAAATCGCGGCATTCCCGCACTCTGTTCTAATCCCACAGATCCGCCGGGACCGCCATACATCGAGGGCTACTCTCCGGGAGAAACTCTGCGACGTGGCCAGACCGTGGAGCTCATGTGCCGGAGTCGAGGTGGCAATCCGCCTGCCCAGCTCATCTGGTACAAGAACGGATCCCAGATACGCATGGCCTACAGGTAAGCCATGTCAGGATTATATTGAAGGGATCATTCATCACTGCCAACTGCTCGTAACTTTATTAATGGATTTTTAAGACTGGCTAATTCTCTGCACTGATTCAGAGCAATTAGCAGTTCAATCAATTTTAGAAATATATTTAATTTGTTTAGCATTTCAAAGGCCAGCAATCTTTAACTGCTGTGTGATATAATTTAACTTATATTCAGCAAAAAACTTTTGAAATAAAATTCAATCCATGCCCGTGAAATAATTTAGTATATCTTGAAATATAACAATAGTCACTTTATGGATGGATTTGAACATTTTTGATTTAAAAACATATGTTATGACTTATAAATTATTGGCTAATTATGGGTATGTATTTCCGCTGCATTCACAGGACCTCTGGCCGACTATCCGAGAACATCTATACCTTCACCGCCGAGGCAGGCGACAACAGGGCGCGATTTCGATGCGAGGCGAGCAACGTGATGTCGCAGAATCCTCTGAAGGCGGAAGTGGAGCTGGCTGTGCTGTGTAAGTCGAGTTGCAGTGGAGGCATCGTGGTTCTGCCTCCAATTTGCGCCGCCTAATTGTGCGTTGTTCATATTTATATATGCCGGGCTGAGCAGCGTATCAGGTTCAATGGGTGCCTAGATTACAGGCCAGGATGCGGGCTGCAAAACGGGGAAGGGGGATCTGATAGTTAGGAACAAGCACTCGGCGATGTGGGGACTGGATTGTGTCAACAGCCTGGCCTGGCTGCGACATCTTCCAAATTCCACAGAGCCAGCAGCACTTGGCAGGCGACTCACACACAGATGGTGGAGGGCTGGATGATTGAAGCACGAGGATGGAGTCCCCTGAAATAACTCGCTCGGCTGGCTGTTGCTTTCTTTCGCAATTAAGCTTAAGTTTGCACTTTGAAAGCCTCTCCAGTCTCCGTCCCACTTGGCTTTGTCAAATCAAGCAATGCAAATTCTTTTCAAGTGCCAAATAGCGCAGATCCCCGTCCCCCCTTCTATCTGCCCAGCCCCTTGGCTCAGACGTTGCAGCTTGTTAGAGTTACAACAATTGCAATCAGGCACACAAAGCCGACGGGCGGAACGACGCGGTGCCAAAGTCGTTAGCGACACTTGGACGGACGGACGGAGGAGACCAGCAAACATTTGCATGCCGCTTCCCAACCTTCCACCGCCGCCGCTACTTACGCTCATGTGTCTCACATGCAAATGGATGAGGCGGCCGCCCAACGCGGCGTATGCGCGATATTTAAATTTCAAGTGCTCGGCAGTCCGCTGAAATTGGCATCTTTTACCTGAAGCGGGCTTTAAGTGCGTGGAGGGTTGCCCCGCCCCCAGTTAAGCAAAAACTCGTTTAGCTGGCAGCTTCCAGTTTATGCGCATACCAATCAAAGTGCCATACAGGTCAGGCCTTCTGCCCACTCGGCCCATCTTGCCCCAATAAGTATGCCACATTGAGTGGCCAGCACAAGCGAATACATGAACAGTCGCACACTAACACTGCACTGAAACGAAATATTGTTCCCTTATTACTATCGCTAACTGAGTCTTGGTCGTCCTAAAAAATAAAAACAGTAGCAATAGGCTTACCGAATTTTGCCTTTCAGTTTGGGAGTAATTTTACTGATAGGCTATTTAACGTTATCGTAATTATATAAGTTTTCTATGTAAGTTTTTAAACATTTCCTATGGTTTTGCACGACGATTGGGGGGTGTTCTCCCTGAGGACCCGCCACTGATTTGGCTACTTAGAAGTAATATATTGATTTGCCAAGGATATGCTTACTTTTGGGTATATTAGGACACACTTAATTCCCTTTATGGTGGATAGTTTCGTCCTGTGTAGCAGATAGATAGCAGATGTGGCCTCAGCTGGCGGCCCTGGCTCTTAGCACACGCATTATTTATGTATAACGAATGTGGAACAACAAAACTGAAGACGTAGCAGGAATACATTCAGCATCAGCATCAGCATTCTTTTACCCCTCACGAGTGTGCCAGGGCGTGTGCCCGGAATGAAGATGTATGGCTGAGACGGACCGACGAAAGATGCGAGAAGTTAAGAATTCATAATGTTTATTTATATGCGAAACATATCGAGTCGAAAGTTTCGTATTCCCTGCGCGCCCTACCCACTCCCCACGACCACGCCCCATGCCCATGCCCAAGACAACGCTGCGTATGCGTAATGTATGCACTTATCCATCAAGGCAGCGGCAGCTGCAGCTGCTACTGCTACTCCGCTTCGATGGCATTAGGTAATAGCTCCGCAGACGGACGCACTGTCAGTCACTCAGTCATCATTTGCATGGAGGCGGCATCAGGAGCCGACGTACCTCCCCAAGGCTATTAGATAGGAAAACGGGAGCCAGGGGGTTTGACTTCGGCTTCGAACCGGAGACTAGGAGATACTCGTGTGTGCCTGCCAGGAGCATGCCGCAAGTGAGCTCGCCACAGACCTATTACATATTTATGCCTCCTTCATTATGCGAGCCCGGTAACTGGAATCAACTCAATCCCTAACCCACACCCAAACGAAAACCTTCTCCATCCCCAGTTGCACCCACCCACGTCACCGTGATGGGACCCACCGAGGCGCGCGTCGGCGATGTTGTGCCGCTGACATGCACCACCGCGCCATCCAATCCGCCAGCCGAGATCAAATGGATGGTGGGCGGGCGACAGGTGCGCAACGCCACCTCAAAGACGATTGTCAGTCCCGAGGGTGAGTGCCACGGCCGGCGTGACATAATCCCCCGCCTAATCCATTTCCATCTCTGTCTGTCATCGCAGGCGGTTGGACGACCACCTCGAACATCACCGCCACCGTGGAGCCCAACAAGCGCTCACTGGTCGTCATCTGTCACGGACTCAACATGCAGCTGACCGAGAACGTCGTCTCCACCCACACGATCAATGTGCTGTGTAAGTACCCCGAAACCAGTGAACCTAATATATCCATCCGAATAGGGATATGCCATTGCCAGTCATTTGCCAAGCAGGGGAAATGGATTTTGTATTCAAGAAATTAGTACGAAATAGGTATACCCAGTATTATTTTCCATCGTATTGTCCTCTTATTATTAATTTCTGACTCTTGTGAAATAAGAGTATATATAATAATAAGTGAAAGATTTCTCTATTTCGGAAACGAGGAGCTCTTTCGTAAATTCAGTCTGTCGTTGCCTCTCATTTCAGTTTTAGCCACGTAACATTTCGGTTGTAACATCCAGTGAAAGTTTCTCGATTTAGCAGTTAGTTTTACCCCTTGATATTAGTTTGTCCGACCATAGCCATGTCGGAGTTTCCGATCTGCGTGTCCCCGTCGGCCTGCGAGTTGGCGCGTCTCACGGAGGAGGAGCGCCTGACGGCCCAGCTGCAGGTGAAGGAGCGCAAGAAGGCGGCCAAGGTCAAGCCGAAGAAGGTCATAGGCGGTCCCATGATGGTGAACCACATGAAGATGTGGCGCCAGCACCGGGAGCGGGTCAAGGAGGCGATCACCAAGGTGGACGCGGAGGCGCCCAACTTCCAGGCGGCCCGCGTCACCGGGGTGAACAACCTGCGCGACGAGGCGCAGGTGTTCATGAGGCGGACCAAGGCCAACATCCAGCTGCTGGTGGAGATCTCGCGCACGATGCGCACCCACGGGGCCATCAATCCCTTCCGCTACGAGGTTGTGCACGCGGTCTCCACCATTCCCAATGCCCTGCTCAACCTGGAGCGGCTGGAGCGGGATAATCGGGATTTCGGGCGGCGCATTATGGAGGTGAAAAGCGAGGTGGACTCGGGTCTGTTGGACAAGCGGATGCCGGTGGGCAGGAGCTCGGCCCCCGCGGCTCCGCTGGAACTGCCGTCCCAGGCGATGGCCAAGTACGAGGCCTTCAGCATCCCGCTCCCCGAGTCGGATGCCGAGTTGCGGCGTCTCTTCCGTCCGCGCATTTTCTTTGAGATATATCTGAAGGATGCCCGTCCGCTGGGGCGGATTGTGGTGCAGCTGTACACGGAGGCAGCCCCGCTGGTGGTGCTGCAACTGATCAAGTCCTGCATGTGCAACCAGCACTCCAAGTTCCTGGTCAAACGGCTGTTCCCAAATCTCTGGCTGGAAACGGATTTGCTGCTGTCGCCGGAGTCGCTGCTGCACCAGCCGCTGGAATACGACGCCAAGGTGATTGACCACGGGGCCTCCAGCTACGTATTATCCTTCAGCAAGGCTTATGTCAAAGGCTTCAGCGACCACCTGTCATTCGCCATCTCGTTCAAGCCGCTTACCGTGGTCAATGGATCCCGGGTGGGATTCGGGCGCATTGTGAAGGGCAGCAAGATTTGCGAGTGCATCCAGAGCTACGGCACCAAGAACGGAAAGCTCAGCCGGGGTCTGCAGTTCACCAGCTGCGGATTACTTTAGTTCGGAGTTGGTCCCTGTAAATTGTTAATGTGTGTGAGAAATCCTTTTTGAGTGACCAAATCAAAGTTAAGAAAAATATATATCTTATTAAGGTTATCTAAAAGGGTTCGGATCGAGATATTATTTTTTGTTTCAATTACCCAATTAAAATTTAATTTATATGTATACTATTTTAGTGTGGTCGAATTTATTGCTTATAATTTGTAAATAACTAAGGGGATTTATATTGCGTACCCGATTTTTTGACATTTTCAGATATTTAATAACTCTTAAATTATCAGTTTATTTAAAAACAACGCAGAATATAAAGCAATTCAAAATCTCAGTTAAATCCAAATAAAACACGATTCGATTTTCTATGCATGCTTGGCAAAGTTCTATACACCAACTTTCCCATGCCCGCACTTTTTTAGTGCCCAGTAAAGGTCCAACTGGATGTACGCATCCAGGACCTCGACACCACCCTCTTTAGCCGCCACAGAGTGACACTTCTCCGCCAAGCGACAACTGCAAGTGTCTCAAACTCCATTATCCGATGTTCGGTGTCACTCTTCATTTGACTCAATTATAAGCGAAGGCAGTGACAAAAACACGCAGGAAAAAATAGACGGGGATAGGGGATGAGTATAGCAGGACGCAGGATTCCAGGAAAGATGAAAGGACTGACAGGCAAAGTCACTCGATAACAGGTTGAGTGGGTTTGCTTGGACCGGGGTGGCAACTAAGCCGATGTCGGGGCTTATTAATAATGGCGATTTCTAGATTCGGTTTATCCAGCCAGGGCACTCATGGACACGCCCCGCTGCCACCTCCTCCGGCCCTGTGGAGGATGTCCTTTGTGAGCGCTCTCCTGCAGCGCTAATTAATTTTTCTGACCAACATCACAGAGAAAAGCAGCGGGAGGAGGCGGGCGGAGATTTACATTTATTACCCATACCATGAGCACTGGAAATGACTAACAGACCCCAAGGTAATGAGCCAGCCAAAGCCACCCGAGCACCCACCGAGCGACCAATCAAGGACGAAGCGATGGTGTGTGCATGGTCATGCCTTGAGGATGCGGACGCCCTGCGGATATTTTTACTTTATGCGCGGCAAATTAAATAATTTTAATTTTTATTGTTCGGCCGCTCTTGGCAGCGCTCTCGCAGGACGCAGCGGTGGGTCCAAGTCCTGGCTGGTACTGGCCCCGAGTCCCCTTTTCCTTATTGTTGTAGGCCATAATTTGCTGGCTCGTGGCTAAGTTTTTGGTGCCACAATTCGTTGGCCCATTTCCCCGTGCTTGGCGCTCTTTTGTTTGTCCTTTTCCCAAACGTTTTTCTTATCCCGCGCTCTGTTCCCCCACTGCCTCCACAGATCCGCCCGCGCCGCCATTAATTTCTGGCTATATGGAGGGACAAATTATCCCAGCTGGCTCGGTGCAAAAACTGCTTTGCGTTTCATCAGGCGGCAATCCGTTGGCGACGCTAACATGGTACAAAAACGACAAAAGGGTGAGTGCAGAATTTCCATTTTTTTCCGCCCTTTGTTTGCATTTTCCGCAGAAAAATCACACACACACACATACTGAACAAAGAGCGAGCGAGAGGGGCATACTATCAACGGCAGGCAGCAAACATCCGCAAAACAATAATGGCGCTTTTGTTGACCATTTCCGCTTCCGCTTTATGGGCTTAAAGTGCTAATGAGCCACTGCAGCCGGGCGCTTTTGATGCCAGAACGATTTCGGTTTTCACACCTTCCACCTACCAATAATCGAGTGCAAAACTATCGTTAGAACTTTGAACAAAAGGTGGTAAATACGGCGGGAAAAAAGAACAAGTCACCCACAACCGCAGCTCATCAGCCCACAAACTTATCTCTGGTTGATGGTGCGGAGCGGGAGGGGGGTGGTGGGATTTGGGTTGCAGGTGCACCAGGAGTTTCAGGTGCGGCTTCCTGTTTTACCGTTTCCCATTTGTTGCGGTGTCAGAGTTTTCATCTCTGGCCCACGGGGGAGTCATCTGGGTGCCCTGTTTGCTCGCTGCCGCGCCGCCTCGCTCACTCGCTCAGATTAGACGACGTTTTATCAGCGAAATTAAAATGCATCCGGCAGCTGTGTTCTTTGGAGATGTTTTTCCAGCCAACAAAAAAATAAGTATTCCTTCCCTCTGCAGATAAACTCGGTCATAAGGGCCGCGGACAAATCGGTGTCGGCCGAGATCACTGTTCTGGCCAACGTGTCCGACAACCAGGCCCAGTACCGATGCGAGGCCTCCAACAGCGCCACCGAAATCCCGCTCTTCCAGTCCACCACACTCAGCGTCCACTGTGAGTATACCCAATATATGTACCTAGTAATGGAGATCAATAGAAACCAAATTATGATAATTATATTTAGTTTTACAAAGCTTTTTTATGGTATATTTCAAGAAATTGTAACTTTTTAGTCAAGAGTTGCATTACCACAAGATAGTTAGATAACATTTAAAGCAAAAACATAGACAAATATAACATAAAAATAACTTATTAGTCTGATAGACTTCCTATAACCTTTTATGATTGGTCTGATTAAGATTATGTAATGTTACATCTTCCGCTATTCAGCTCCCTAAGAAACATTTTCAAGACAGTTAGGCAAAATTTACAACCAAAACTTGTACAACGACTATTACAGACTAAGTTCACAACATTTAAATATGATATAAAATTCTTCATCACTTCATATTTGGTTTAAATTCAGTTAAATCATTATATATCTAACCAAAACCAAAAATATAAATATATATACAGTATATTGTTTTACAAAGTATAGGGCCCTTAAAACTGCATTTAAATAAGTTTCAGCTTTAAATGTTGTTCGTTGAGTGTAGTACTTTGGCTTAAAATCCTTCGGCTGGGGGACTCACCGGCTCCTGCATCCTTTCTTATTATCCATTGGTGTGTGTGCTCTTTCAGTTGCCCCGGAGACGGTCAAAATACGCATTGAACCGGAAGAACTGCGACCTGGCATGGAGGCAGCCATCATCTGCGACTCCAGCTCCAGCAATCCGCCGGCAAAGCTGTCCTGGTGGAAGGACGGCATCCCCATCGAAGGTACGTACCGTATGGCTTGGCCTGCCTGGCGCTTTGGGCCTGGCCAAGCGATTTGGCAATTGGAAGGTTGCCCATCGCAATTCGCCATTCGCCATTCGCTATGGACTTGCCGGCGCCGCCAGTGCACTTTGTTGGTGCGAGGCGTTTCCACGACAACATCCGGTTCGCTTGCCTTGCCAGTCACTAAAATTACGCCCATTTCTCCTCCGCTCCCATTCTTATTCTCCGCCCAATCCGCATCCCGTGTCCTGTGTCCTGTGTCCCTGTCCGCCCACCGGAACCACTGGCTTTCCCCGACCCTACCCACAGGCATTAATAACACGTCCAAGCCGGGTCTCTGGGGCGGCACGGTCTCCACGCTGGAGTTCAGGGTAAACATCACACAGGAAATGAACGGCCAGGTCTACACCTGCCAGAGCGCCAACGAAGCGCTCCAGCGGAGCGTCCACGAAGCGGTCAGCCTGGATGTCCTGTGTAAGTACGGCCCCCCTAATTGCTCAATTAGTCGGGATCTGCAATCGGCAGTCGAATCTATAAGTGATGTCACAGAAGTCCGGTGGTTGGGTTGCAACAATCCTTTCTCTTTCGGTGGAACTTCGGAAAGAAATTCCTTTGGCATTGCAATGGCCGGAAAGGGCCATTATCGTATAAGAGATGAGTTTTAGAATTGAATTAAATATTAAAAAAAAGAAAATTATAATTAAACTGAAATCAATAAGTTTTACCCCCAGATACATTTTTTAAATTTCGATATACTTCCACTAAAGTTTCAAAAGAGAGGCCATGAGCGATATAAAAATACTAGATTGTTTTATAAATTAAATTCAAACTGGGATTGATTACAATAACATTCCATTAAACATTTCGAGCTTCAATAAAGGATTTTAACAAAGCCTTTTAGAGTGAACCTTTGCTCGGACATCAAATATTCTAATATAGTTGGATTAGTTGGACCCAAAGGGATTTCCGTGGCAACAGCAATCAATACTTCAACCTCACCTTTCACCTCCAGATCGACCCCAGTTCGAGGCGCTACCCTCGTCGACGAAGGTGGGCGCGGAGGGCGAATCCATGCAGCTGTTGCTCCAAACTCGCGCCAATCCCACCCCGGTGGCCTACAAGTGGACCAGGGATGGGGTCACCATTCCGCAGGACGGCGAGCGCCGCATCTTTGCGGACGGCGCCAGCCTGAACTTCACCCGCCTGCACAGGGACGATTCGGGGATCTACTCCTGCAGCGCCTCCAATTCGCAGGGCAAGGCCAGCCTCAACATCACGGTGTTGGTGGAATGTGAGTACTCCACTCTGTGCAATACCTCAAATCAGACTAATCTTGGCCCCGCCATGCAGACGGCACCACCATCAAGTCGGTCTCGGAGAACATTGTGGTCAATCCCGGCGAGGACGCAATGCTGTCCTGCAGCGTGGAGGGCAAGCCGCTGACCGAGAAGCACGTGAAGTGGGAGCGGGTGGGCTACGACATGACCGTCAAGACCTCGACGACCTTCGCGAACGGCACCTCCTACCTGCACATCAAAAACGCGCAGCGCGAGGACGTGGGCAACTTCCGGTGCGTAGCCGACAACCGAGTGGCCAATCCCACCAACCGCGATATCCTGCTGATAGTCAAGTGTAAGTACTCTCGGCAGTAGATGAAATTACTGCTATACCCTCGATCTCCCATCCCCGTAACACCCTCCACACCCTTTGTTTACCGCCTCCAGTTGCTCCCGAGATCGCCAAGGCTCCAACGCTCCTGCGAGCCGCCAGCGGGACAGGGGAGCGGGGTCGACTGCCTTGCCGGGCACAGGGCTCGCCCAAGCCGCAGTTCATCTGGCGGCAGGACAAGAAGGACCTGCCCATCAACCGCACGTACAAGTACGAGGTGGAGGAGCGCAAGATTGACTCGCTGACCTACGAATCCTCCCTCATCGTGGAGAAAGTGGCGCCGGCGGACTACGGCGCCTATGAATGCGTGGCCCGGAACGATCTTGGCGAGGCGGTGGAGACGGTGCGCCTGGAAATCACCTCGCAGCCGGACCCACCCCTCATCCTGAACATCCTGAACGTCACCCACGACACCGTCACCGTGGCCTGGACTCCGGGCTTCGATGGCGGCCTCAAGGCCTCATATCGCGTCCGCTATAGGTGAGTGATTTGGTCATGGCCCCGATATTCAAAGCATGCACAGAAAACAATTTTAGCAGGGTCCTTAAATACAAAATAACAACAAACGCTATGAATGCGGAATTTTATTTAAATTAAATTCCATTTTGAAGGCTATTTTGATGCGTTTTGTAACACACAATTATTATTATTTTTAACATAAAGCAATAATTTATAAGAGTCACTTTTGGTGGTCGAAAGTGAAGAGCTCGCAGATTTCCCTCCGTGCAACTGTCACGAGTCCTGGCACTAATGAAATTGCACTCTGCCCTCTCATTTGCAGGATGTTCGACCGCGAGCAGTACAAATACATCGATGGGCTGCCGAACAGCCACAAGCTGACCATCGGCGGGCTGCGCATGAATACGCTCTATCTGTTCTCGGTGATGTCCTGGAACGAGCTGGGCCAGAGCTCCTACCTGCCCGACTTGGCGCGGGCCGAGACCAAAGGTAAGTCCGCCACGCCCCGCCCCGCCCCTGAGAACAGCATTCAAATTGGCCGCGAGTGCCGCACTCGACCAGCGATGCCGACATTGATTTATGCCAGTCCGCCATTTGGCTTTTATGGCCACTGGAGCACGGGCTCGGTTCCGAATCGGAGGAATCGGAGCATGGGCGTCGGTATCTACGGGGATGTTGGTGGTGCCGGCCAGTTGTCAGGAAACGGTTCGCAGATTTGTGGAATTAATTAGCTAGCCAGTATGATAAGCAGCTATCAGGCTAATTAGAAGCACGCATGGAACGAGTCAGCCGAAATAATTGATGAAGTGAAATTAGAATAGACCCTGAAATTGGCTATTTTCCCTGCGAAATTTCCAGTCGTGCATACAGCGAATCACATTAATCAGAGAATTTAAACCAATTTTGATGTATTTATTCAGCCAACTAAATAGCTTAGTCCTAACCAAGTTTTGCCTTCAAGGGACAATTCATGAAATATTGCCCATTCACAAAAACTAACACAAATCAACTAGATTGGTAATAGATTTTCAAAGTATAATGCAAACTATTCTTAGCCTCTGTTTGACTTGACTAAAAATAAGTCAACTAGATTGATAAATGATAGATAAATGAAAACCATGCCTAAAAAAAATTGTTTAAATACAATCGTTATTAGATGAAAATAATTAAATTTAGGAACCCCAATTTAGTAAAACAAAAAATATTTGGTTCAAACTTATTACCCACTACAATAATACTAATAAATAATTTCGGTGTTGTTGACAATTTAAATTTATATTTTACGATGGTTGAAATAAGCCTTTAAGTTTAGAACAATTTTTGTACATTGTTAATTTTCTCAGAAGGATAATTTTAATACGAAATAGTTTTTAAATAATTGATGCAATCAAGTTAGCAAGCAGTAGGGAACCAGACACAATACCTTTAAAATGCTAGAACACCTTTCTGCCGCCATTTGCCATTCAATTCAACTGCGTCCTGCACCACCACCATTGACTTAGCAATTCAAATAGACCGACCATAGATTATGAAGCGTAAGAAATGGCCTACAACCAGACATGGCCATGGGGGCACATGACCTGGCCAGGTTCCGATCTGTTGTCTCACTCAATGATCTCGTCCCGACCCCTGCTGCTCCTAATCGGAATTGCATTACGGCCATCAACAACGCCAACGACACCGACGACGCGACCACCGCAATGGCCACCGCCCCGCCTTCCGCCCTGCAGAGGCCCCGCCCCCCTCGCACCCTGCCTCGTCGCTGGGAGGCGGACCGCCGACCACCAGCCAGACGCCGCTGGGCGGCACATCGGGCATGCTCCTGGTGGGCGTGGGCGCCGGCATCGCCGTGGTCCTGCTCAACGTGTTTGTCATCGGCTGCTGTCTGCACAAACGGAACGAGAAGCGCCTGAAGCGAGGTGAGGGGTGCGCCGTGAATCCGGCGGTTGCTGCTGCTGCCACACTGGGAAAAATGTCCACGTTTTATATGTCTCTTTCTAAAAAGGTCTCATCAAAACGGATTTTATACGCCTTAACTATTGATGCCTTTAACATATTTAAATAATCATTTACATTACACGCAGGGCATAACATAACAGAGATTTGGAATGCAACATTTTAAGCTTTAGTAACTTAATTAAAATCGAAATATATATTTTCAGATGTCTCAGAATAGATTAGGATTCCTACCATTACTGAGAAACATTTCAGAAATTTAGCAAATAATATTGAAAAATTACTGACCGATCACATTGCAATTTAAACAATTTTATGCAATCAATTTATTGGACTTAAAACGTAGCCTTTTGCTTACATTAATTTGAACAAGTTTTAAATATGTTTCAAAATCTTAAGTAAAATAACTTCACCTTTAGAGATTTAGACAAAACATTTGAGATGATATCCTAGTCTATGATCTCAGTGTTGTGGCATGGTTGCCATCGACCCAGATGGGATTCAATGGGAAGCAATAGTTGGAGTTGAGAGTTGGAGTGCTGCAGAGCTGGAATCCGTGGGCATTTGAATTTCTAATTCCCTCGACTCGGCCCGCCGTCGCCTCCGTTATTTTCTTTTAATTTGTGGGCGTTGTCAGCGCACGTGCCCGGTGGTCAGCGACTGCGGATGGGACTGGAAATGGGTGAGGGAATCGCGATGGGAATCGCTGTGGAATGGCGATGGCGTCGCTAATTTCATTTGCCATCACATGTTCCGGCTCCGCTTCGCAGCCTCTACGTGATTTGCGTCACTCGCTGGTCGCTAGTCGGTCTCTTTATTTGATTTCGCTGCGTGTGCTCGCCATGCCAACCGAAATCGACCCTCGACCCCGTCTCCTTAGCCGGAATGGAATCCCCGGCCGAGTCCGAGTCCGAAACAGAATCAGAATCGGAATCCGAGAACGAGTCCGCCTCGGACACAACTGAAAACTGGGACAGTTCATTGCTATGCTCTGCGCCATTTTATATTTTTATTCCTCATGATATTATTCTTTTTTATTACAATTTCTCATTTCATTTCGCATTTATTTATTGTTTTATTTCTGCAACCATATTTTTTTGTACTTTTTCCATGGTTCGTTCGCTTTGTCAAGGACTTGAACTGATGCCAGCCGAGTTAACCGAGGACTCCAGCAACACACCGAATCTGGTCATAATTGGCATCTCCCTGGCGGCATTTGGCTTTCTCCTGGTCAACGCGTCGCTGGTTGCCTGGTTCTTTGTGCATCAGCGCCGCAAGAAAGGTTATTATTATTTATTATTATTGTTATTATGACTATTATTTGGGCGGTGTACATTCCGTTCTGATGTACATGCACTGGCTTACTTGCTGAGGCTGCTTCCCAGGGTCCGCCTTTGATTGAGATTATTTCGGTGCGGGGCTGGCACTCCGGGCTCCAAATGCCGCCAACCAGACAATTGCACCGGCTGCCATGTTGCAGCGGCAGCCGGCACCACTTCCGTGACACCACCGGATGCGGAAGAGAGCGCGTTGTGCTGCATCCGCTGCCCACTAAGGACCTCGGCATGCAGGCTCTCTTTATGAAGCTCACTAAACAATTTCCTGCATACGCAGGACCCACTCCGCCCGGATCACTTTCCCGCCACGGCTCCTTGTAATTTCCGCAGGCAACCAATGCCAAGCGTGGCCAGGATGCTGGAGCGAGGCAAGAAGTCTCCGGCTGGAGTATAATGATGACAGAAAATAATGATGCATCCTGGGCACCCGGCAGCAGCCGAGAGCTGCTGTTTATTGAACAAGAGACCCGGACAGCCGGCAAGACAAATGTGCATCGTTTTCTTAGCTGAATGCACAATCCTCCGGAAATCAGATTGCTTTCACGGCTTACGGACGCCGGGGATTCGGAGGTTGGAGGTCGGAGTTCGGAGTTCGGAGGTCGGGAGCACGTGTCGACAAGTGTTGGACATGTTGCTGAGGGTTGTTTATTAAATCGAAATTATTCTTTCACCCCTAGAGTGGTGCCAACTTTAAAATGGAAGCCCTGGCGCCGCCATCAGTCCAACTGTTACCATTTTCCAGGCTAGCTTTCCTTAACAATCCCATCCTTCAGACTGGCAAATTTGATACGCGCACACACGGCGTATACGCGATGTGCCAGCTCTGAATCGCTATTACGTGCAGCCAGTCGACATGCAACACGCAGCGTCGTTGCCGGCTAACCAAATTATTTCCATTGGGCCGGGCTGCATCGAGAACTCAATACGGCGGTCCAAGAGCACGAAAAAGCCAAAATAAAAGTCCGTAAAATTATGCAGATGCAAGAGTCCTTTTTGGTAACTAGGCACTGCAAATTGCACTCTGAAGAACTGAAAATTGTTAGGTCTTTTGGTAACCAGAACTACAGTTTTGCTCATATGCATAAAATAAAACAATGTTCAGTTGTTAGTAAATTATTAAGTTCCTTGGTAAATTTTTATTTTGATTGTTCAGAGTTGACAAAATTATTAGGAGATGGAACGGTGCTTTTCCAAAAAAAGGATCTTTAAAGAAACAATTTAACATAACATGTGCACTGCACAAGTTGATGTTATCAACAATTTCACATATTTTTTTTGGTGTGGGAGCCATACTAAATGCCATTTGTTTAACCAAGGGCGTTAGCACCATGTGAGGACGACTTGGAGTTCTATTTGCTGCTGTAATATGTGCGCTGTCATACAGTTTGCGTAAACATTTGACTTATGAGTTGACTTACATTCCCTTCTCCTTTAATGAAAAGTTTTGATTCATTAAGCCAGCGAAAAAGGGGCCAGCACGCCCCGAAACTAAACTAAACTGACTTAATCGGGGGAACAAAATGTGGGCCAGTTATTTTTGACATTTTCAAACGGGAAGCACGAGTAGCATGAACTACAGCCGCAGGACATAAATAAGAAATTTCCCTAAGAATCCCAGGCCGGGCCAGACTCCATTATTTCTGCCTTTCGTTTCCAGAGCGGCACAGTTGAACAAATGGCGAGTGCCGGGATATGAATGCAGTCCCGCTCCGCACAAAAGAAAATTCATATTTCAGTCTTGTTGCAAACAAACACAGCAACGAAAACGAAAAGCGGAGGAAAACCCCTCCTGGAAGGAACAACATTTTTATGACAATGTACGGAGAGTGGTTTGGTAGCCGTACCGCCATACTGCCATCCCCTTATCCCTGTCAAAAGCCGATAACTGACAATGCCCAAAAGGATTTTTACTTTTCCCGTTTTCAGTGCTCACAATTTTTCCATCCATTTCGCTTTTTTCTTTTTTTGTTTGAAGTTGACAGGGAAACTGGTGCGTTGGCCAGCCGGCGGAGGGGGCGGCCGGGGAGTGGGCGTGGCCCTGGAAGTGGCAGTGGGAGGTGAGGGGAGGGGAGGGGGGACCCTGTCGGGGGATATCTCTCTGCATATTTCAATGTTTTCGCCGGCGAAACTTGACTTGTGTTTTTGTTGCAGCCCTCGGATATGCATTTTTAATGTGCATTTGTGCCTTTGTGTCAAAATGCCGCATGGCGCACAGAAAGGAAATCCATCCCGCCGCCCAGCTCCAAATCTCATCTCGCCCAACCCATCGCATCCCGAATCCCGGCTCTTCGGCAAACCAAAAGCCCAACCGCACTGGAGGCCGCCTAAGAAGCCTTTCGCTGTAGTTGTCGCTGTCCGATAAACTATGCCAAAAGTCTGCGGTTGGCAGCTGGTTCAGTGGTTCAGCTCCGTCGCCGACTGCTGGTCGTCCGTCGGTCCGTCCGTCCGTCCGTTTGGCCGTCCGTTGGTCCGCTCGTTCCGTTGCCGGTCGGTCATCGACCACAGACACCATGGACAAGAGAGCGGCAGTGACCATCGCATCGCCGCAGCCACAGTCAATGCCCAGTGCCACATATTTCATTCCCGTATGAGCTGGGCCTGAGCCGGAACATCCAGAATAGCGCCATCTCTAAAGTTTATTGCCTTTCGCCTGGCCCCCAAACGGAAAGGGAAGAGCGTCTATACACTGAGGCTAAAAAGAGTTAAGATGCTTAAAACGCATTCACACATCCCTGTTAATTCTTTTAAGCTCCGGTTTCAGAGCAAATTCAAGATATCTCAATCAGGGACCGTAATCTTTATAATTTTTAAATCTAAAAATAATTATTATTAGGATATAAACGGCTGATTCGTTACAAGTTGCCAGCACAACTCGTATTGAAATATGAATGAAACCCTTGAATAATTATTATTTGCATTCTCTAAATTGAAGGGATTCAAGACTTTAAGTTTAAAATATATTAGATAGTATTTACTTAGTAACAAAATGAAAATATTATTTTCAAATGAAAAAAGTATGCATAGGTTATATGGAAAATGCTTATTGTTTGAGGAATTAAACGAAGAAAATGATATTCATGATGTTTGGTGATGAGGAATCAATTGGCATGGCAGAGATTCGAAAAGAGTATCATAGAAAATGTTTTATTCAATAATTCACAAACTATCTGTCCTGCGTTAATTTAGTTAAACTAAATTAAATATCTTCTTGAGTTATTTAAATTGCTTTAAAAACAAAATCCCTTTTCCAAGTGCACTTTTACTCAATGGCCCACTTAAAAGGCCGAGGAGAAGTTGCATCTAGCAATCGGTCCGGGAATTCGTGAGTGGTTAACTAAGTTAGGGCATGGGCATAGGCCCATATGGCAATAGATTTCTGTGCACAAAAAAGTGCCAACTTTAGCTGGAGCACAAATAGGAAATGGAGAGCACCCATCAACACGGAGGGTGTATTATCTTTTGGCCAGGAGTAAAACTTTAGACCGAGTGCAGGCGCAAAAGTGAAATGGCCCGCAACCCGATCTCGGGGATATAGTTGAGTGCGACACTTTTACGACTTGGCGGGGCGAAACTTTTATGCCAACGTTGCCACCAGCGATAAGACCACCCGACCCGGCACTTTGTAGGACCCACCACCATCATCACCACCACCATCGCTCTGTCCCGATGGCTGCTCCACTGGCGAGCACTTGACTTTGACACTCTTTAAACAATTGACGGGGACCCGGGGAACTGGCCAGGGCACTGGGGTTTTCGGCGTGCGTGAGGGAGCTGCGACATCAAATCTGAAGAGATAAGCGCACAGGCTGTCGTGGTCAGGAAAATCGGGCAAATCGGAGGAAATCGGGGCGGTTCGGGGCGATTCGGGGGCCAGGGGGCTGGCTCAGCAATGTCGAAAAGTTTGCTGCTTAGGCAACTGGCCATGACATGCCGAGGCAGCAGCGGATCCATTTGCGGCGGGGAGAGGGAGTTCATAAATTCGCCGGGCCCTGAAACAATGCCCGGGAAAAGCTCAGCACCCGGTCCATTCAAATGACCAAAGAGCAAATGGCACAAAGCGGAGAAATCCACTACGGCATACCGCAAGTCCGGCCAGCGAATAATTGAGAGCTGATGCCAGGACAGAGGGCTTACCAGAAAAGTCCTTCGGAGCAGACGTCGCCGTCATTACCGTGCCCAGATGACCGCAGAATCTGTCTAAGCCGCGCCCCACATATATACGTATGGGGAAAGGGATCCGGCCGGGGTTTTCCGAGCATAAGTGCAAAATTTGTAATCTCCGGGCGGCGTGGCGGAGGCACAAAGTGCAGCGGCAACAAGGAAACTTGGAGCGGCATGCGAGTGCGGATTATTTGACATCTGTGTGGACGGGGCACACCGCATTGTGCCCACGGTCACGAGGATGACGGCGAGTGATAAGCCGCCCCCGGCCGTTTATACCCTGCCAAGGGGTCACTCATCCCGCCATCCGTCTGTCTGCGACCTGGAGTTTTCCCGGTAAATCGCGCTTAGGACTTATAGAGTTTATGGGTTGTAAGTGGAAACCAAAAAACAAAGCATCAACAACTAACTCAGGCTTTTATATGTCATAAATTATTCGTTTGGCATGACGAAATAATCTAGGCAATTCCGAGAAGTATGTTTAAATGCATACACTAAAGGCGAAATATGAAATCTTGTTGAACAAACATTATGGAATTTGCATTAAACAGCAATCTCTATTAAAAATTGAAAAAAAAAATTATTTTGTAATGAGTGTTGATTTAAAAATGTTCAGAAATGTTTTAAAGCATTGTTAACATTATTCCTGTCGTTAACTGTATGAGTTATATTACATTTCACATTTTAAATATAGCTATTTATTATTTGACGAATCAATAAACTTACACCTTCCGTTACATTTTGCAGTGAAAGTAAAGTAGGCAAGCAATATAATATTTTTTAAGAGAATTGTATTTACATTTAACATTTTATTTTTCCTACTCAAATACCTTCTTTAATTTTCCAAGAGGGACGAACTTAATAGCCAAATCCAGAGTAGACCCGAATCGAACTATATTTTTTTCACTGCCCGCTCTAATCTTTTGCTTGAAAAACACATTTAAGAGGGATCGGGCTCTCTATTCACACAAATGCACTCGTGCAGGCAAGCGGTCATGTTTTTAATTGCCCTAATTGATTAAAGCCAGGTCTATTATTTTAAATGGCCCTCCGCACCCAAACGCCCTTCAGCCTGCCACTCGTGTGTCCTCATAAATAAAACAACTGACAAATGCCGAAAATGTTTTTAACTCACTAAGCCATAAAATCAGTGAGCTTTGGCAGGATACACATTCGCACATATGTGCATGTGCTACATGTGCTACAGGGCGCTGTCATCGGCAGACCAGCAACAGAGATATCTGAGCCGTTCAGCACTGCGGCCCAACATTTAAATGCGTTTTCAATTTTTAATTTTTTCCCTATGAGTGCCCACACAAAAGTGTATAGATTGCGAATTGTGTGTGCATATGTTTAATGAATTAAAATACAACGCTGGCAAATGTTGGTCAATCATAAAAAATGCAAATTGAAGCATCGGCAGCACAAACAAACAACAGGAACACACACGAAATGGAGACAGAACAAAGCAATTTGCGTTCGAATATTCGGCTGCAATTTGTTAAATATTCATTATACATCGGCCAACATGGGCACCGGCAGCCAAACGTGTATAAAGTAATTTTGATAACCCCAAACATTCAATGTTCTTTGTGCAAATTAACAGCAAACGCCAATTTTATCGACTAATGGTCCCCGCATGTCACGTAACTGGAGGACGTGCCGCCCAGGTCCCCTATATATCCTCTTATACATCCTTGGAAATGTATTATTAAGAAACCATTGGGCCATTATATCTTTGCATAGCTTGGACGCGATGATGATGGCAATGATGGCGATAGCAGCTGAGTGGCAGGGCAATGTCCATTTACCATTACCTATTTACCTATCGCCATCAGGAGAAATAGGGGCTAAATGGAACCACACGTGTCTATGGCTTTTTGCTTTTCTGCTGACTCCGCTCAGCCCGCAATCGTTGTAAATTCCGTGGCAGCCTGGAAAAAGCGCTCGGGAACAACAATAGGTCGAAGTTCACACAAAAGGTTGGCAGTAAATAGGAATTTCTGATGAAAAACGGCATTTATTTTTATAATTTCCAACACAACTATTATTTTACTGTTCCCTTTATTGGCCCAAGCTAATTCTATTCGATCACATATACCAAAACTATTTCCATTCCTTTTACCGAAGCAGTAAACACAGAAATTCTACAGAAAACGTGGTAGGTACATACATTCGACCATTGTATGTTTGAAAAATTTAGAAATGTATTATATATGTACCATGTATATTGAATTAGGTTAAACATATGAAAATCGTCACCCGAATGCAGCAGCAGCAACAGCCAGGATTTTGAAAAATCTTTAAAATATATCCTATAACCTATACTATTTTTATATATTTTCCATATCCCATCAACTGCGAACCGGAATGTGATACAATAATGGACTCCACTTTGCGCCAAACACGTGTTAACCTTTGCGGAAAATGTATCATAAATCATTTAATTGCATTTTTACCTTTGCCCGCCTGTCAACTCATTTATATTTCCCAATGTGCCTTACTTTGTTTCCGACACGGCATCGAAATGCACATCAACGAATGCTGCGACAAATGTGAATAATTAACACAATGCCTGCGACCCGTGTAAACATCGTACCACCCGAAAAACACCCTTTGTCCAACACCCACACAACGTCCTTGCCCGCACCCCGCGACTCCTGTTTCTGGCACTTTGACAATCTTGGCTATTTGCATTTGATTTGCATTGCCCGAACCTGCAACTACAACACAATTGGCCACCTCGGATCCACCTTCTGCCGCACTGCATCAACGCCCCCCAAAAAAACACTCCCACTCCCACCCCCACCCCCACCATCTGGCACCGCTGCGAATCATCAATTTTCGGGATGTCACTGCCAATTACACCTTTTCAATATTTGTGCACATACCTTGCCGCTGCTGCTGGCGTCGGAATTTTTTATGTGCCGGCATTGGAATACAGTGGCGGAAACTACAAATCAACCGGCAAAAACGGCAACCATCGAGATGTACGCGCCCAGCTCGTATAATGACACCGTCACCGGCGAGACGCTGTCCAGCGTTTCGGAGAAGAGCGAGTCGTACTCCAATGAGGGCAGCAGCCAGCCGGAATATATTGTGAGTATATACGGACCTACCTACGGACCGACCAGTTTTGGCTCCATTTTTTCCAATTTTTTCGCCATTTCTGTCCTTTTTTTGGATGAGCATGAATATGCAATTTGTGAATGGGCACAAAAACGAACAGAGTGGGGAAGGAAAGAGCCGGCAGTGGAAAATCGTCTGGCATTTTAGGCATTTTCCATTGCTAAATAGATGTCCTGCAGGCGCAGAGGCGTCACTTGGCATTTTCACCGGCGGAGCATGGAGTGATTTCCCCGAAGTCATTCAATTTAAATATTGCTTTCTCCTCAATGTCCCTACTGTATCAATCACCCCGACTTAGAATACACTATCTGGGGGTACAATAAGTTTTGCAATAACTTATAAGTTGTGAAAAGATGTAGTACTATAGATATCAGTATTATTATCGATTAAAAAGACGTTTAGGGAATTCTTTATATATTTTTAAAAGTTTTTCATTTATTCTCTTTCACTCTAATTTTAGTAAACCAATAATATTATAAACAAATAAAATATTCGAAATCTACTTTTTTTAATATCTTACAAAATTTATATAACGAGGCGGCTTCCCCTTAAGTTCCTGCATCTATTCTTAAAGGTGTACAAGTTTTCTAGTTTCCTCATAATAAGAACCTGTTACACCGGTTAACAATTTAATACTATTAGATAATATGCCAGAAAATTAGTGAGAAGCCACGAAAATAGCTTCGGGAGGATTCCAAAGATGAAACAAATGTTATAAAGATGGCCTTAATATGACAACAAAGCATTTAATAATCCACAAAACAAATTAAAGGCACGATAGGGCTTCGAGTCGATTCAAGGCAGTCTGACTAACTTCAAATGTTGAGGGTGGTCAACACAGCAATCCCCCTGGCCTGCGGCCCTGGGCTTTCAATTATTGCCAATGCTCGAAATGAGAGCTCCCCGAGTGGAAGGCAGGAAGTGCCAGACCAGGCCCAGACCAAGATGTGGCCCAAGAACAGGTCCAGACCAGCGGAGCGGAAACGGAAGCGGAATGCCGACGTCGTCGCTAAGACGTCGTGATTAATTACGCGACGCTGATGATGATAATGATGAGCCTGCGAGTGGGCTAAAGCGGAGAATAAAGCAGGGTCTGAGTGGGGACCTCAATCCGGGTCTGAGACAGGGAAGCGGCTTCAAACAAATCGTTCCAAATTATTAAAATCATTTATTATCGCCGTAATCTTGCAGCGGCAGGAAAACCGCAGCAACTGCCTAACCCGCAGAAGCTGAAGTAAAAGTATGTAAAGTGCGTAAACTGCGACCGCGCCTGTTATAAATCAGCCCCGATCCGATCCGGGTGTCCTTGCTTTTTGTCCTTGTTGTCCCGGCTGTCCCGGCTGTCCTGGTTGTCCTCGCTGTCCGTGTGTCGCCGCTGTCATTGTGGCTGTCAATTACGCGCCAACGACTTTCAACGCCTTTGCCAAAGTATGCCAAAAAGCAAAGTGTGGAGTAATTACGGGGCATTACTCAGATGGGAATGAGAGTATAAATTGATATATACCCGACCATGTCGCATCTGCCGCTCCTCACTCAGCTTCTATCCTTCTTTATTCGCAGGATGAGGCGCGCAAAAAGGCGGCGTCCACGTATTTGGTGGAGGGCTCGGATATGCCGCCGCCCAGATACCAGAAGGATGGCACCCTGCCAGTCATATACCCCAACAATATTGGTAAGTATATATTGCAAAACATATCTCCATGACAACTCTTAAATAGTGCTCAAAATTTACTGCAAGAAAACCCTTTAAAGAAACAGGAAATCATTTCATTTTTACTTTACTGGCTCGCTTATTTTGCATTGCATTTTTTTTTTTTTTTTTTTTTTTTTTCGCGCGGAGTCCCACGGCCCTTACCGACACCGAGGGCAGCCGTGTATCGTACGATTCGCGATAATAGACGAGATAGGAAAATAAAGGTAAAGGTCCGGGAAAAAGTAAAGTTAGATCAATCTTGTGCCAATGAAGCAAGTATTAAATTTTAGGACGAGAGTCAAGATTTGATATTACAGGAAAAAGTCTATTATAGTCAGAACATAATACCTGAAAGGCTCATAAGGCATAGTTAGATCTACAATGATTTAAAATTAGGGAATATAATTTCTAGTTAATCTACTTAGAGCAACTTAACAAGTCGGGGCAGTCAATATTATAAGGTTATAAATAAAGATAGTACCAAGCATCGTTCTACGGTTGGCTAGGGATGGTAAATTAATCAAAAGAAGTCTACTAGAATAAAAAGGTAAGATAAGATTTGCATCCCAGTTTAGGCGCCGTAAAGCAAAAAGAAGGAATTTTTTGTACAGATTCAATACGACCAATATATATTCCGTATTGTGGACTCAGACAGGAACCCATACTCCAGAATCGGAGAACTAGCGAAATAAATAAAGTTTTAGTCAAATAAGGATAATCGACTTCTTTTGACCACCTTTTAATAAATTCAAGCACTCCTCTGGCTTTATTAACCATGGACGAAATGTGATTAGAAAATTTTAGTTTAGGTCCAAGAGAACGCCAAGATCGTTTACAAGAGTTATTCTATCCAAAGAGCTGCCACTTAACGTGTAAGTCGCGAATATCGGATTGGCCCGATAAAAAGTCATCAGCTTGCACTTGGAGCCGTTTAAATTTAGTAAATTATCTCGGCACCAGTTTTGAAAATTATCTAGATCGGATTGCAAGTTTAAATGGCAGGAAATGTCCTTATACTGCAGGCACAACTTAACATCATCTGCGTACATAAGTACCAAAATGACTTATATTAAGGAAGATCGTTAATAAATAATGTAAAAAGTAACGGACCCAGATGGCTCCCTTTGACACCGGAGGTAACACGGAGAATTTCAAAATTGAATTTTTAATTTTTAAAAAGGACCCTTTGTGACCTGCCATTTAGATAACTTGAAATCCATTTAAGCAGATCAACTGGAAAACCTAAAAGGTCAAGTTTATGAATAAGAAGTAAGTGATTTACAGAGTCAAATGCTTTACTAAAGTCAGTGTAAATGACATCTGTTTGAAAACTACCATTGAAGCCTTTTATCACAAATGTAGTGAGCTTAGAAGGTTCGTAATTGTGGATCTACGTTTAATAAATCCGTGTTGACACGGAGAAATAATTGATCTGCAAAAGTGCTGCAAATGAGGAGTAATAATTTTTCAAAAAAACCTTAGGAATAGCTGACAACTTAGAAATACCTCTGTAGTTAATGGCTTCTAACTTGTTACCTTTTTGAAAAGAAGAATAACAAATGATTCCTTCCAAATATTTGGGAATTGGGACGTTTCTAGAGATAAGGTAAACAACTTGTGAAGAGGTTTGCACAGGGCCTTAGCGCAATACCTAAGCACGCACCCAGGAATACCATCGGGCCCTGCGAATAAGCAAGCTTAATACGAAGAAGATCCAAAAGAAGAGAGCTTTCTGTTAAAGTGGGACAGAATATGAGGTTTGACTTGGGCATGGTGTAAGAATAAGGCTGAGATGAATAATCTAAAGTAGAGTAAGTCGTTTGAAAAATTGGGCAAATATATCAGCTATTGCCTGATCTGTGGTTCCCGTCATGTTTTCGAACGACAGCGAAAGGAAAAGAATTAGATTTACGCTTGTGTTAACAAAATTATAAAACTGTTTCGGGTCCTGAGAGAACTGGACCTTACAACGGTTTAATAACATTATAACACTGAGCATTAAGCACGTAAATCTTGACCGAGCACTTAGATATCTAGTAAAAACAGATTGAGAACCGGTATTTTTATATTTCCTAAAAAGTCTGGACTTTACATTTCTTAAGTGTGTCAACTCTTTGCTAAACCAAGGTATTTATTGGAAGTTGACGGATAGTACCACGGAACACAGGAATTAAAAATGAGTTTATTCAGATAAAAAACATTAACTGCATCAGACATATTCATAAGTAAAGATCAGACCAATTAAAGCCAGAAATAAAATTATTAAGCCTCAAAAGTCTGCCTTGCGAAAACAATGTATTCGTTTGGATTTTTCTGATTTTTCTTCTATAACTCTACCCGTATCAAATGAAAGTTCGATATTTTAAACAATTTAACACTAAAAGTCGGTCGTGAATTGTGAATTGACTTAAATCACTACTACAAATTTTTCATCATGATATTTTTAGTTGTTAAAATGTTGTTCATTGTTCTTTGGCATTTTAAACAATGTCTATATTTATTTTACAATTATTTTCAAAGCCAAAACTATACATCGGATACATTTTATTCTTTTTTCTCAAAAACCTTCATGATTTTAAAACAATTTTTTTGAGTACCAAACAAAGAAGCTAAAAATAGGTTTTAGATAATTAACTTTCGGGCAAAACAAAGTTGGGACTTTGCACGCGCTGTCAGGACGTCAGCAAACCGACCAGACCCCCTTAACCCTCTGAAGCCCCAACTGAAAACGGTTGCACTCGTTTTGGTTTGATTTTTATGCCATGATTGCAGCGCAATCAAAGCAAATGGTGAAAAAGGGACATGAAAATAGCAAAAGGACGAACAGGATGGGCAAGATGGGCAGGAGGAGGAAATAAATATACAGAGAGCGAAATCGAAGCATTTGGGGCGAAAGGAGGCAAGTGTGTGAGCTGAAAATTCAATTCCAGCACAACATCTCCATCTTAATTGTAATTGAGGAGCAAAGTTTTTGTCAGTCCTGATTTTCAATTGACGTATGTAAGGATGTGTGTGAGTATCCCATATACTCTAGATGTACATAGCCCAAGGCAAAATCCAAATCACGTGCGGCCCGCGCTAATTTAAGAAAAAACTCATGGCTTGAGTTCTCGAATTTAAGGAAGAAAAATGGAAATGGAAGAATAATAACCAAGGAAAGGACCCAGACTCTGTCTCAAACTCAGATTGGGACTGTGGCCCAGACAAAGGACACCGTGGCAGTCTATCAAAGCATCGGAGCTGTAAGAACAACAGGAGTTCTATAAAAACAATCCGTCCGGTTGGTACAAAAGCAGAAAATGCATTTTAAATGCAAAAGCGTAGAAATAATAAAAATACATTAGCTGCAGAACTTATCCCCGGAAGGAAAAGTGCCGGAGACTGTGGCATAAAAAATACAATTACCTTGTGTCAACGGCATGAAAATTTGGGGAGCGCTATCCCACTTCTCATTTTCCCTCCATCTGAGCGTCAAATAAATGTTAAGAGGAATTTTCCAGTCGTCATAGATAAAATAGAGGTGCGCTGGTGAGCACATTCGATTTTCAGATAAGGGCATCGATGCAATTCAATATTATTTTCGCTTTAGTCCATATTGAAACATTTACTGAATTCAGGACTCTCTAATGAACATTAGGCTTGACGATAGATTTCGTGCAACAAAGAAATGCTTTACGTTTTAATAAATCCATGGTATTCCCATTTATATTAGTGATGAAAAAATTATGATAGTATTAAAAAATTCATATTATTAATGGTGAATAAAAATGGGAAAGTTTTTTATTATCATGGTAATTCACGGCTACAATATACATGACTTTAAGTGAAGCACAAGCACGCAAAACGCTAGAAAACCTTTGTTTTTTTCCACAAACAGCTCTTGATGAATTCGCATCACGTGCTCATCTCTAAGATAAACCGAAGACAAGGTCTTGCCGCCCACTTTTCCACCCAGAAGCCCCTACCACCCCATTTTCCACCTCGAGGTTTCTGCGGCGACACGCATAATTACGTATGTATGTACTTCTCGGGTGTTCGAGAGTACCGCCATTTTCTTTATGCCCGAAACAACAACAAGAGCACAGCAGAACGAGCTGAAAAGAAAACACGCCGAGGGAGAAGAACAACAAAGACAAAAGCAGCGAAGAAAGGCAGAAAAGAAAGCAAAAGGGAAGAAAGGACGAAGGCAAGAACGAAGCGCCGGAGAGGAAAGTGCCAAAGAATCCCCCACGTGGCACAAAAAATTAAAATGCTTGCCGGAAGCTGAATCTCAAACAAGCGAGCCCAAGGCTGTTGTTCCAAGCGGACGGAAAAGCGGACGGAAAAGCGGACGGAAAAGCGGGTGCTGGTGCACCACCCCCCGGGAAAAGCTGGGGGGCGGCATGCACATGAGCTTAACGGGGCGGGGCAAGCGGAAATTGTTTTTGTTAGTTGGCGTCACATTTTTTATCAGAGTTTTTTGTTGAATTTAAATTGGTAGTGAGCGATGGGTGGTAGTCAGAGAAATTGGCAAAAAAAACAAAACAAGGATGACAACCCTAGGGGCTTTCATCTTGCCCGCCACCCCCACCCCCAGCCGTTGCAGTTTCATTTACCATTTATGCATTTACACGAGGAAAGCGGGAAAGCCGCGCTTTTAATGAGACACTTTTCCACACGTTTCCATTTTAATGAGCAGTCGAAAAGCAACAAGTCCGTAGCTCTGACCCAGTTTCTGACCTTGAACGAGTGCAAAGGCCCTGGCATCCCGAAAGCTCTTGAAAACCCCTTTGGTTAAGGCATACTCCCTGACTATAGCTCATAGCTGGTCCCCCATTTTTCAGCCTGTACGTGAAACATTTCTTATCTCGACTCGGGCCTGGCCCAATGTTATTAATATCAGATGAGCTGGGAACCGGGAACTGGGAACTGGCAGCTTTTGCTCCTGACCCGGGCAACAATTATGCAACTGCCACAGTCCCAAATTGGAACAAAAATACAGTTCTTTGTTCGACTTTCTTTTCGGCACAACAATGCCGCGCTGATCGAAAAATCAATAATTCATGAGTAACTGTCTTTTGAGAAAACACGCCCACATATGCGGAAGTAAACAAGCCACAAGATGAACAAGGCCCAAACTCAGGTCTACCACATGGTTTCCTTCGATTTGTCGTCGTCAGGCAGCCGCAGGTTCGCAACTTAGCCCGGAAAGTTATTGTTGCGGGGCTAAAGGTCCTACCCCTCAGAAATTCAGCGATGTCACAGTCTATTTTACAAAATTACAAATTTGTTACGTTTGCGGCTTTCACGCCTCTGCAGCTGACAGTCACTCGCTTTTCACGGAACGTGGCAGTATGTCGGGCCAATTTGTCACGCCCCAAGCAGGCTGCCTCATGGCCAACTGAAGACTCCATTGACATTTGCATATTTATTGGACGGGCTTATCAGCAATGTCGCAAGCATTGCAATTAATGGCCATCGTTTTCTTTTCCTTTCCAAACGTTTGCACATGAAATCGGCCAGAACCAAACATCAAATTGTTGCATGCTACGTGAGCTGGCCGTATGTACAGGTGTTTTCTCGATTTCACCAATTCCTGATGAGCGGAAATGTGCGACAAATATCCGAGAAAGATGTATTTAATGCTTATTTTAAATAAAACATTAATATAATTTATCAGTTAAAGAAATTAGGTATTTAGAATGTAGGTTTCTAAAAATAGCCGGGAGGGGAAATAAAAACTTGATTTATTATTATAAAATTTAAAAAAGTTTAAAGTTTTAAAATTTGAAATTTTTGTTCAGAGCTTGTAGAGTTTACTTCTGCGCCAATGATAAAAATCATATTTTGTAACTATATTCAATTAAAATACACTAGCTTAGATATATTTAAATACTTTTCTGAGTAGAGAAGCATTACATCAGTTACAAACGGGGTTTAAACCTTTTCCGAAAACAGCTAACAAACTGAATAGGCAATCGAGAACCGAACGACGGTATGCATATTTTTCGAATATACAACCCGTCGTTTGCAGTTTAAAATGAAAATTGAATGCGTTTTGCAATTCTCCATCTGCGGCTGGCCAGGCAAACGGCGTGCTCCGCTTATGGCCGCAATCAAAGCTTAAGCCATAGCAACGGCCATATATATGGGAAAAAATATAGGAAAATAATCAGTAGAGCGCAGCACGTACCCGACAAAAAGAGGGAATGAAGCGGGGGTATTGGTAAGCCATTAAAATCAACCCCGAGCAGGCTAAAGTGGGCTTAATGGCCACAAAAAATAGCATCAATGCATATAAAATCGAGCTCACTTTGACTTAAGCACATATTAACTGTATACTGTTTTTCCGTCTCTGTGTTTTCCAGTGAACGCCTGTACACTGCCGCACCCGAGGCACAATAATGGCAGCGCCGCCATCCACATGACCCGGGATGATCAGATGCTAATCAGCAAGGGCGTCTATATTCCGTCCCCGTCGCCGGCGCCACCCCCAGATGGGTCTTACTACAACATGAACAGCGACAGATACTTGTCCTATCCTCCAATGGTGAGTGCGATCAACGAACCTGCCTTCCCGGGGGATTCCAGGCGGGATTTGGCTGAGACCCAAGCTTAACGAACGCTAGATGCAAGCTTAATTGCCCGCATCTGCAGTTACCTTCTTTGATCCGCTGCCATCTGGCGTCTCCGTCGCCCCCTCCCCTCCCCCTCCATTGGCGCCTGGATTATTGCGCTCAATTAACCAAAGTTTTACGAAGGACACTCGGCATTTTGCATCCCGCCATGCCAACGGGGGTCCATAAATCCACGTATCGATCTGGGCGAGGAGCATAGAGAGCATGCCGATGCCAGAGCATCTTCTGCCCGCTGGCACTTAACGCGCTTCGACTTTTATAATCCGCAACACTGTAGAGACAAATGACAAACTTAAAAGCATTATAAGTAAGCCCCTCGAAGCACACTGCACTGCGTTGTTGCACTGCGCGCAGAGTAAACACTATTTTCCCCAGACAACAATTTAATATCACGCATACGCCGGGTACGGCAGATGGCAGCGTGGCTTTTACGACGAAGGAACGCCCACAGATGCGACAAAGTTCTGGCCCCGCGTCACTCATAAAGCGGCGGGAATGCCGGGGCCAAGTTGTGTCCCAGATTCGGGGCTCCACCTCCAAAAAGCACCGCAGCCAGTCAAGGACATGTGATGTCCGTTCCATTCCAAGGCGGATGCCACACATTCGCCGCTGTCGCATTGCCTGCCAATATAAATTCCGCAAATTTCACAATAAACATGGGGAAATCAATTTTCGGAATTTATGTTTCCGACGCTTCTTTGGGGGAATAAGTGTCCCCTCTTCGGACCTGATGACTCCTGGCACTAAAGGGGTGCCAATGCGACAGCATAAGACGACATCCGACGTGGGATGACAGCCAGCCCGTTTATGTGTCGTCTCAAGTTGGCTGACGCTCAATAATTGTATAAATTAGATGGAGGGAAACGAAACTGCAGCAGCAGCAGGATAGTAATGTCCCTGGGATATTGGCCACCACCATCTGGTTGCACAGCTAATGTAATAATATTTATGCTTAGCAGTTGACCATGTTTATGGCCTTTATACGATTTGTTAAGTTATTCAATTGTGTCCCGCTCCCAGAGAGTACACAGTTAAATGATGTGGATGTGGATGTGGTCGGCGGGAGGGAGTTACGGTATCAAGTATCCACCGGCCACTGAATCCCAGTATCCAGTATCCAGAATCCGGTATCCAGTATCCAGTGGCCAGTGCTCCGTCATCGTTCTTTGCCATCGCCCGACATGGGACTAAACCTTTTGTTTGCGGTTTTTAGTCAACGAGGGAGAAAAATTCAATTTCGGTTTAGTTGGTCAACAATGACATCCCATATGTGTGTGTATACACACCCCGGCCGCCCGCCGCCCGCCCACTTCACTTGTGGCCCATGGAGCAGCCACTCCTTCCGCTTTGTACGCCGGTCGGGGCCTTTTGCCATTCCACATAAGAAATGTTTTGTGTGGATGCCAAATTGAATTATTTGATAAACATCATTAGAAAAATTACAAAATATACAGAGCAGAGCTTCGGTCCTGTCCCTGTAACAGTCCCTTCGCTGTGGCTTCCCGAAAACATTTGGCCAGCTCTAAATTACTTTTCGAAGAGCATCTGTCTCCGTTTCAGCTTCAGTCAGTGCCACGTATCCGAGCGGACAGTAAATGAATAAGGACAATTTATAACAGTAAATCAAATTAAATTTCAATTGGAAAACTTGACAACAACAAAAAAACAAAAAAAACAAAAAAGACAAAAAGGCACACAGAGCTAAATAAAACAAAACAAAATGGCCATCTAACAAAGTTAGAGCATCGTTTTGCACATTAGTCCCCGAGGAGGGGGCGCGCATAAAGCTCAGCTGCCCATCGGAATTCCTCCGTCCGGGCCACTGTAATTGCCCATCACAACTGAATCTGGCCATAGATATAGATGCGATTTCGATTCAGCCTGACCAGTTTATCACAAAGCGCTGAAAAGTGATTGAACAGCTTCTTAATCAATTTATGCTGTGTTGCTCTGCAGTTGCCAGTTATGAGAGCTTCCTCTACTTGATTTATTTCAGCAACCACATTTAGTTTACTTATTTTTATTTATTTAGTTAAGATTGAGATATTTCCAAATAATACATTTACAAGTTTGTTGGATTGCAAGTCAAACTATTTATTTCAATTTACCAACAAAAAGGTAAAGTTCCCAAGTGTATTTGATTTCTTTTAACCATGTTTATATTTTTGTTAGGCGCTGAAATGTTACATAGCCTACATTTAGTTCCTTTACTCGGATTGAAGTATTCATTTATACCTTTCGATTTATGAATAATCTTTCCAAATTATCTTTACTACACGTTTTTAAAGTCATTTACTTGCATTTTTGTTTAATAACTAACTAGAAAAGCTCTTGCCATACTTTTTGGCACATCAGTAATTCACAAAAATCTGGTATAATTGTTTTGTTTATAACGAAACGAACCTCTACGCATTTTTTCAGCGTCAGTACTAGCAAAAATATGCATTGAATTGCATTCCGATAGATAAATATCGATCTTCTGTGGCCAAATGCTTAACTGGTAACATTACACCTACGTTTTCAAGAATGTTCATTTCCCAAAGAGTTTTTTTAGTTTAAAAAATTGATTTAGCAGCCAGATTGACTAATATTCTAAACATCTAACTAGATGTCCATTCTATACCGTTTTCTTAAATATCTTAAGAAGTTTATTTATTTAAAGCACAGTTTATAATTCCACGTTAATTTTATCACAAGATTTAGACAGTTCTTTATTTAATTTTGGCTTTCTGCAGCTGATTCTTGAAGAATAAGCAAAGGCAGGTCGTGTTTGATTTATTGTCATTAGGGTGATTTTAATACTTTTTTTGATGAAATTGAATTTACAAACTCGAAGCATGAATAGGCGGTGATTTCTGATTGATTCACCCTTCCGGAGCAACAGAATGTCCCAGGGTCAGCGCCTCAAGGACTTCTGTTCCCGCTCTATTGGTCGTATCCACATCCGTTCATTGGCACGCAAAGTGGCCCGAAGTAAATGCAATTTAAAACAAGTTGTGGCCACACCCGGGCAAAACCAGAACGAGAATGGCAGCCCACCCACTCATCCATCCGTTGCGGTGTTTTTGTCCAACCAGCTTGTAACTATTTAAGCGGCAATTTGTATTTTATTGCCAACTTTGGATGGCTTCCAAGGCCCGAGCACCAAGTCCACATGACCACATGCCGCACCCACGCCAGCCCGAAAATGCTCGAGTTTCATTTGGCTGGCGTTGATAAGTTAAATGCTGACTGCCGGACGCAGTTGGAATCCCTATGTGGACTACGTGCATATGTGGCTCCGGACGGAGCAGCCGGAGGGCAGGGACTTGACTTCAGCCGGACAACTTAACTACGGTTCACTTTGTTAACTTGCGTTCTGCACAGTTTTAAATTCAATTAGTTTTCGTGCGGGCGAACTCGGTATCTGGCCATTGTCCGACTGCCACTGGGCTGTCAGCTGCAAGGGAGCTGGAGAGGAGGAGTATCCGTCAGATACTTTACGCTTTTCGGACTGGGGCGCTGTGGCTGTCATCAAAGCGAAGAATACACGAGTGTTTTGTTTTAAAATTCATGGGGCGGGCGCGAGCACGCAGCTGAAGCCGATTAAATAAATAAGGGGATCCGCTCCTAGTGGGCCATAATTTAATTTTCGCTCCAGCTTCTGCTCCTGCTCCGCCAGAGGCTCTTTCGACTCATAGACTTGGCCCGCCGGCGCCGTTTGGTTGGCCTTAATGTGGAAAGTTTCTACTTTATGGCCAGTGTGGAGATGCCAATTGGTTATTCTATTTACCCGGAATGAAGTTCCAACTCCGGCAGTAACAACAATAATGAGCTGCGGCCGAGAATTAGCGACGCGCGGCACACAAAAGCCTTTAAGTGGCCCAAAGTTTGCAGGCAGCAAACCCTTTACGCGACCAGGACACCCTGGCACTTCCTGAGCCCCCAAATCGTCGTGGCTTAGCTGCGGAGCTCTCCGGGCCCAAGTTTTCGTTGAAGACAATTTAACTTTGTAAACTGATACAAAATGTCCGCCCAGGTCTACTTAAGAACGCTCCCGCTCCCGCTCCCCGTCCCGATTCCGATCCCCGCCTCATCCTTGTTAATCAGTGTCGAGTGTTGTGTCCCTAATGTGTTGCTGGATGTCCTTCCGCCATGTTAATCCCCGAGAGCTTTCAATTCTGCAATAGTGGGTACTCGATTCCCCTTAATATTCCAATTAGGTGCACGGGCCAAGTTTGCAACTGGAAAGTTGTACGTGCTGCAAACTTGGCCCGCACTGCTGGACTTCTGGCATGCGGAACAGCTTCCTCAACTGGCACAAAGTGTCATGTCAATTGAACTAGGAATCCACTCGCAGACAGTTCGCTTTTTTCCGTTGCCCAGTTGAGAAGTTGTCAGGAAGTTGTATTGTGCACGAGCGCTGGCAGGAGGCGCTGTCATAATTACGGCATCGTTAGTGCCAATCTTTGCTTTAATGCCGTCTTTTCAGGGAAAAGTAGCCAAAGGATTCGCAGCGCACAGGAGTCCAGGGTATTTGAGCCTCGGCTTAGAGCGGACTTTTGTTTGCGCTCCTCATTGTTTCATATCTCGGGCGACAGTTTAATGGGAAAACTTTTGCGCTGAGCCATCGGAGAGCGGACCTATTCCGCGAAGAGCTGCGATGAAGCCGCTTAGCTAAGCCTATGCCCACTTAATCCGCACTGGAAAACCAGATTTCCTTCTGAAATCAAGAAAGCTTTCTTAAAAATCCGCTCCAATTTAAAGTACACAAAAAGTTAATTAAGAGTTAATTAAATTTAATAAAATCAAATATTTTTGGAAGAATTTTTTGTTTGGAATTATCATTTTGAAAAACTAAACAAATTTGCTCGTTGCTCACTAATATTTGATTTTGATTATATATAAATCTAATTTAAATTTCGTTAGTGTCTAGTCAAATAAAATTATTTTTATTCTTTAGAAAATGCGTCAAAAATTTATATATGCCCACGTACATGTTTTATTCGATTAGGTTGATTTTAATTTAAATGTTCAGAATACGACTTTCAAAGTGGTTAATTTAAAAAAAATTGATTATTAAAACCTTTATATCTTTTACGAAACTGAGGATATTGAGGAACAACAAGTTCTAAACCTTTTTAAAGAATACAATCTTAAGAATTTAATGCACATTCTTAACCCTCTTGTTTTTTCGATTCCAGGAATACCCGGCAGCCCTGGACTTCACCGCCCAGCCGATGCCCCTGGCGCACATGCAGCCCATCACGGTGACCTCGCTGGCCACCAATGGAGGCGCCACCCTCATCGGCAACGGATCCGTGGCAGCGGTGGCCGGCGGCTCGGGCACCTTGCGGCGCGGCATTCTGCGCGGAGTGGTGGGAGTACCGCAGCCCGATGTCACCCACCACACGTCGGCCGTGGGTGGGAGCCCGCTGCAGATGCTGCACGACCTGCACCCGGTGAACCTGAGCGCCTCTACGCTCACCACCAGCACCACCCTGAACGGCAGTCTGCCCACGGCCACGGCCACGGCCACGCTGCCCCGCCAGCCGCACGGCATCCTGAAGGATCCGAACCGGAACAAGCAGCAGCAGCAGCTCCAGCACCAGCACCAGCATCAGCAGCAACTGCTCAACGCCAGCTTGGTGGGCGTGGGCGTTCCGGTCTCGGCGCCCATGGGCAGCCTGCAGATCCTAAACCTGCCGCCGACGGGCGTGGGACTGGGCAACAATTTGCTGATGACCACCAGCGGGGCCTTCGACCCGACGGCGGTGGGCATGAGCAGCTTCGGCGGAGTGGGCCAGGCCGGCGGCATCCCGGTGGCCTACACCGACGCGGACGGACACCTCGTATAGCTGTAGGCGGGAGCTGGGGCCATCAGCAGCACCACCGTGCGGATCCTCTCCGGCAGTGAGCCCCGGTTCTGAGCAACCACCACGTCGCACCACGTCACCACGCCCTACCCAGCATACTCGTATCTGTATCCAACCTACTCGCAAGGATGTAGCTAGTTTAGGAGCTTTCTCTTCGGCATCTGGGTCCCTCCTGTGTCCCCTGTCCGGCAGCCACGTCTCCATCCACTTGCCATTACCTTATTCAAATCAGCCAGCGAATTAGTTTATGTAAATTTCCACCCAATTCTTACGGCGTCGCCGTCAATGCGGGTGTTTATTTAGATAAGAACTACGTTGGGGGGCGAAGTCACTCTAGGGGAGTGAGCATAATTTCGCAGAGAGTTTTACTAATTAGCCGGCAGCAGGAGAAGCAGGAAGCAGGCGAAAATAATTTCAAATATCCTTGGGTGGAAAACGCGAAACGGTCCAGAACCGTTTGACAGCTCCCAGGGGCGTGCTTCGGCTCAAGTCGACTGGGCACGTGATTGCCCTGGACGGCGCCATCGGCCATGGTCGCCGAAAGTTGAAGGTTGACAGCCGCTAGCTGCTCGGCGACCCCCATCCCAGACCCGAGTGCTAGATTTGCCACCTCCCCTTTAATGGGGCAGCTGGAAAATCTGGAAACGGGACTTCATCCTAGCGAAAACAAAATGGAGCCTTCTGAACTCAAGCCACTCGGCACTTCGACGATGTAGTAACGGGAATTTTCAATGGTGGGAATATGGGTTTTAAAAAAATGGATAAGGAATAAAATCCAAAGGCTACCACAAATGCGCTTCATACTGTACATAGTAATGACCAGCCATTTAACACTTCAAATTGCAGTTTAAAATAACTTTAAATACGAAAAGAATGGTACAAATATGGTTTATAGTTGGTTTTTAAAATGTTACCTAATTTCAAATGACTACTTTTAGAAATGCTACACTAGAAAGAATAATTTCACTTCTCGTAAAAGTAACTTAGATATCCCATTGAAGAAATTCTTAATCGTTCTTATTGAATATAAAATTTAAATTTATTTATTTTCAAATTAGTTGTCAGCCTTTATTACCACATGAGTTGGAGTTAGAAAGGTTCCCCTTGAACTAAAGGATTTAAGAAACGTCACTCGAAATTAACAAATCCAAGTTAAAGACTTCAAAAGAAAAGCTATTGAATCAGTGTCTCTATGGAAACTTTCGTACTGTTCTTAGGGAATGTAAATAACTAAAAATCAAGGCTGCCTTCAGATTACGCCTTGGAATTTAACTCCACCAGCTCCTCGAGTTGCTCAACTCAATCTCGTCCATGAAAATGCGCATATCGCAGATATGGTAGGGCGGCGGCCACGCCCTGGCAGCCATTATATGCAGAAGCTGGCTGTATCTTTATCTATCCAGCTGCCATTCGAGTGCCGCTGCCGCACATAAACAGTTTTCATTTGCCACTCGTCGCAGCTCAGCGAGCGTGACATGCCAATCCTGGCCTGCGTTGCCATTAGCTTTTCCAGTTCAAGACCAGAGGAATCCGGGAATCCCAAGAACCACTCATCTCCGCTCTGCCCACGCCCTCCTCCGATTTCGATTCAACCTCCGCCTCCAAACCGCACCCGAATCCGTATCTTTGACTTTGTAGCCAAGTTCTTGAGATCCTCGAGCGTCGTGCATAATTGCCAGCAGCATTGTGTGGATTTTAATATTCATTTGGCTGTAATTGCTGGATCCGGGTCCGGATCGGGGGAGTGCACTATTGCAGCTGCTAGTCCTTGGCGGATTATCGCAAATGAATAAATGCCCTGATTTCGGGCATAGATGGCAGAGAATTCGAGGAGGTGGGGCTGCACAAACACAGTGTGTAATTAAAAGTGAAATTATCTTTGAAATTAACGCACGCGTAGAGAAAGAGAAAGGCGAGGCCAAAGAGGATGGCGAGGGAAATGAAGAAAAATTCGCGGAAAACTGAGAACGAAATTAAGAATGAAGAATAAGATGAAGCAACTTTGTGTGTCGGCACACATATGGGTGTACTCTCCGCTGTGGGATTTCCGCTATTGAATAATGACGATTCCGCTGTCCGCATAAAAGTTAAATGAGCGGGGAAATAGGGAGAGCTGAGGAATCTGTGGGGGAACCCATCAGGTTTCTGGGAACGATGGCCAAAGGACACGGGGCTGCGGGGACCCTCTCTATACCAGATATGTGAATGTATAGCTTGTACTCAACTCTACGAGTAGTGCCGCCAAATCGCATTAATAATTAGCATTTAACTGGATTCGTAGCCCTAAGTAGCTAAGCCAAAACAATTTCGAATCACTACTCAATCAGCAAGCCAAAATCTTTCAAATTGTACAATACCACAGGGCAGAAGGCGAAAAGCAAGGAATACCGATTAGCGATAAATAATTAACGATTAAAAGGACAAATGCAGGTATATCGATACACACGGAGAGTCATTGCAATTCATAGATGTAAACGTAGCATACAATTTCGCATCTCGTAACTCTTAGATCCTGTCCCCACATACCCTCTAAACGTTTGGAGCTTGGCAGGGAATTCCCGACTTATACATAGGAATAACCAACTCGCTGTTTTCTTAGGGATAACTATTTGATTGCACTCGAACTTATTACTCCACGAAGGAAATGTGTCCGTAACTGCATCTGCATATTCACAAATCTTGTATGTCTTCCCCAGCTTGTCCTGACGATTGTTGATTGTCCTTAATTTAATCCAGAATACGTATTTATACTTACACATACATATTAGTTTAAACTTAACACACTTGTCGGGGGAAATAAATAAGACTTATTGTAGATAATTATGTTTAAAACAATTAACAAACACGAAATCAAGTTGTTCAATTTGTATTTTTGCCAAAGAGATATTTGTTAAACAAAGAAGCGATAACTTGCAGCTGGTTTATGTGTGTGCTTGTTTCACTCTCGCTGTGTTTATTTGTTGTGTACGATTGAATTAGAATCCTTATATATATATGATTTTGGAAATCCCCTCATTCGACGTTAACGTAGCATAATTGAAGCAGCAGCTGAAGGCGATGACACACAAGACTTGAATACCGAACCTAGGTTAATGTTAAATGTTAATGGAAATCGAAACTTAATGCAACTAAGTATGCGTGTGTATAAAGCGAATTAATTACCAGTGGATGTGAATGTTTTTATGACACTAATTGAGTTATGTATTTTATGTAGTCTGTATGCGTATATCTATAACTATAATTAACTGAAAGCATTGTACAGTAGTCGAGAGGAAACACAATAATTAACAAGGCGTAAGTTCATTCGAAGAAAAAACGAAAATAAATTAAAAGCATAGTTTATAAACTCAAAGCATAAGCCGCCACTCAGAAAACTGTATAAAACAAAAAGATAAGAACGAATTCTAAAAAAAAAATTATTGAAAAACTATGAAAATTAATGCATATGAAACCTACTGCATTTTTAAAAAAAGATCTGTTAACAAATGAATAATAAAACCATAAAAAGGATGAATACCAAAACCGAAATGCATTTCCATTGCCGAACAAAGGGCCAACCGATTACGGCACAAAGGACAATTTAATGGCAAAACTTTCGAATCAATTTTCAGCGGCAGGACTCAAACAAAGGACGATGGCTTTCCAGCCCAGAGAAGAGACACTTTTCCCGGCGAGCCAAAGTTTTCCGAGGGCAGGACGACTATCCGTCTTGCCGGGTGTGGTGCAAAAAATTGAATTCCTTGTAAAACTTACGAGCTGGCATTAATTTTAACAGCATCTCGGTGGGCGGCGGGTGGTGGGCGGGACCTGGATGCCTCAAATTACGTATACGGCCCATTGAACGCTCTGCCGGGCACGGACATGTGTGCGTGTACACTCCGGGTCGGGCCATTATTCTCCCCTGACTGACTTTATGACGCTCATTCGATGGGCCCAAATCGCAGCTCGTTTTTCATTTAAATGGAAGTTAATTAGTTCCGCCAAAAAACAAAGCGAAAGAATAAATGTACGTACAGCGGAGAACAACAATGAGAGAGCGACGCAAATAAAGGGCAAACAAAATTTCGCCCAGATCTGGGCGTGGTCGAAAGCATTCCTTGCTGCAATTGATTGATTTGTTCCTGTTCCCATTCCACATCCCCCACCCATCCTATTCTACTTCTTGCTTTGGCCTCGACATCCACTTCGGCTTCATCAGTTGTTGCCGCAAATTGATTCAACAAACGGCAAACAAGTGAAGCCTGGCCATGATGGGCCTTCAATTAATAGCCGGATGGAGCAAGTAAGTACGGGCGGAGCTGCCAGGACACGAAACTTTCTCGCACCGTAACTCGGCAACTGTCAGTCGGCGGAACACTCGATTTTCCCTAACGAGCTACAGGTGAAGAATGGATCTCAAATAATAAAGCAATTCTCTAAATAAAGCTGAACAATATATATTGCCGTAGAGGAGAACTGAAGGTTATACTTTGTTTCGATTTTATATTTTCAACTGATTATCAGCGGGAGGAAATCTCTAGATCGTCGCCTAGAGATTATAAAGGACCTTTTCCGAATTTGAACATTAATATAATATGTTAGATGTAATATTTATTTATTATTTATTTATTAAATATTACTATTATCCAAAATTATAAGCAAGGTCGCGAAATAAATGCCGAGAAGCTGATTAAAATAAAAATTAGATTCTATAAAATATTTTTCTAGTTCAAAAAATTTTCTATTCACTTCCAAATAATGTTGTCTGTCTTTGATTTGGGAAAATACATTTAATTTTAATTGCAGTAAAAAAATCTTTTGAGCTGATGGACTAAATGTTATCTCCCCAATGCTTAATACACTTGGTAGACATTTTTTTTGATAACAGCAAGAAAACTTAATTTGGCTAACAGAAAAATTGTCTTAAATAATTCCAATAATTACTGAGAAATTGTTAAAAAATAAATCACAATCCAAAAGGTATTGAGATATTACAAATCGGAGCAAGTCCGTGGTATAGAAACAACTGGAAGGAGAGTATTCCCGTTTTGGTCTTGCAATCGAAACATTTCTTGGTATTTTCATTGTAATGCAGGTGACAAGCCGCACGGATCCCATCCCCATATTGGGGCCTTTTTTGTCTACGGACTTTCGCCGGCGACCGGAGCCGTCAAAAGGAACAAACCTTAGTGGCGACAGCGTGGAAATGCACGTCACAAGTACTCGCACAGTTCATCTGGCCGAGTAAATGGAAAAGTTTTGTTTGGTAAACTTTTTGGGCAGAAAAGAAAGCGCTAAGGCGAGCTGAGTGCTGCAAGTGCGGAGTTGGGTCCGAGGTACAAAGTCACTAAGGAAACAATGACTACCGAAAAGTTTCTCGTTGGCATAATCATTGTCATGGCCATTGACGCAAGGATTTGCAAATTATCAGGGGCGAAACTTGACCGACCCGTGTGCAACATGAGCCTCTCGAGCGGGGACTGTGAAATTCCATCATTAAATTTAGTATTTTCCAGGAGGCGGGACGGAAGCCAACGGGGACAGCTGTCGGGACCGCCATAAAGGGCACAGATAGCAATTATGCCTTTGGCGAAATTGCCGGCTGACAATCAAAGAGGCCGCACGCATAAGCAAACCGGGCCCAGAGCCACCGCAACGTCTTCTCCCGGGGACCGCAGACCCTCCTCCCTCCTCACTCCTCCCTCGGTAATGAATTGTGGCCAACCGACCCACAACACAAACAGATAGAGAACGAGCCGATTATAAGTTTGGGTACTTCTTCTTTTCCGCCTGCCTGCACAACGCTCTGGATCTTGCCGACATTAGCTCTCAGCTACGAGGTCCTGGCACGCATATGCAGCCGGAATCAACAACATCCCTTTTGCTGCAGCGACAGTGGGTTCAGGGGACCAGAAGGACCCGATTTCTTGGTCGGGGCTCATTGTTTTGCGCAAAATTCATTTCATAGCAATGAAGTTTATCGCTACCCTGCAGCCCCACAATGCAGCTTCACACTCGGCTAATTTGTGTGGAAAAATAATACCCATATAAGCAGCCACCCACATACACAGAGAGATATACTCAACATTTATTAAATATTTTGCAATTGACATATATGTTCTATTAATCCATTCGAATTGACAAATGCTCAAACAACAATCTGAGCCTCTTGTTGTTTTTATACCCTTGCAGAGGGTATTATAATTTCAGTCAAAAGTTTGCAACGCAGTGAAGGAGACATTTCCGACCCTATAAAGTATATATATTCTTGAGTCTGAATTCTTTTTTCAAATTGTTCCTATGGGAGCTATATGATATAGTCGCCCGATCCGGCTCGTTCCCACTTATATAATACCTGCAATAGTAAGACAGCTTTTGGGAAAGTTTCAAGCAGATAGCTTTAAAACTGAGGGACTAGTTTGCGTAGAATCGGACAGTCGGTCAGACGGACGGAAGGACGGATATGGCTAGATCGACTCTCCTGGTGATGCTGATCAAGAATATATGTATAAAATTATAGGGTCGGAAATGTCTCCTTCACTGCGTTGCAAACTTTTGACTGAAATTTTAATACCCTCTGCAAGGGTATAAAAAAGAAAGAAAGCTAACATCACCAAGCCGAAGTGTGTAAACCCGTCCAACTATTTCAAAAATGTAACATTCTAAAAAACGACAAAATTTCGCTTTTTATATTTTTTTAAGTCGCAAATGCAAGCTGTCATGCTGCTGAATCTTCTGCGCAAGTTAACCGACGATGTATTAAAAATGTCCGAGTACACCACTGAGACGCAATGGATTCGGTTTTGCAAACGGGAAATGGTGCGGGGTTTTTAGTCTTTTATCTAGTTTTATTATGTTCAATTCAAAATAAACATAAAATTAAATTTTATTTCAAGTTTATTCACCAAAGCTCCTCCAAATTGTCACTTAATTTAAAATGTGAAGAAAAATACAACATTTTTTTAATACATCTCTTATTTCGCTGTGTACTGCATGTTTGCTTTGCAGGCAACCCGCTAGTAAGGAATCGCAATGAAATGCGCAATAATTCAAATTACGCATACGCCGCATGGTACGAATGGGAAAACCCTCAACATCCCCACCCTCCTGCCGCATTTCATCCTTCGGCCCATATACAGTCCGTCCAAATAGAAAATATCTCAAGTTGTTCCGCCTGAACGCATCGCATCCAAGCCAATGACGCTGACTCAGTTAGCAAGAGGAAAGCCAATGAAAAGCGCTAACGAATGCGACTGCAAAATATGATTTCATTCATTAAAAACCTGACAAGTTCAAGTTGAATGAATAGATATTTTTGGCTGCCCGTCGGTGGCCACATATGATTTATTTATACCACGTCTATTACAGCATCATAATGAGGAAAAGTCCCGGCGTCTTGGCAGGCACTCAAAAAATCCAACAAACAAAATGCCCGCCGACATACAGGCGTTGGCAATTATACAAAAAATTTCAGAAACCTTTTAAGACTCGCGCACTGCATGCTTTTATTTGTTTTTCCCGTGTGCCCCATACCCATGTTCTCGGCATTTCCCCGAACCGAATTGCCAAACAGCTGATTTAAATAGCCAGGCCCAAAGAGAAGCAATCAGAGCGAGAAAGGAAAGGAAGTGGGCCAAACGAGCAACAAGCGGCGAGGCGAAAAATGTAAGCGAACACGGCAAGCCGGCGAGAAATCGCCTCGGGCTAAAGTCGCCGCACAGTGTCCCCCAACTTATTGGTTAGTTAGAAGTTAATTAAGTTGCAAACAGTTTTTGGTTTAAGGCGATTTGCTTTAGGGACGCCTACATTCAAGAACCCTTTGCCCTTTAGTAAGATTTTTAAACCCATCAAATTACTTTAACAAAAGCCGGACTAATGATTGTGTTTTATAATTTGAACTAATTTAAACTTGCGTTATTATTTAAAATATTTTATTTAAATTTTAAATTTGTTCAGACTTTAGGAGCGTGTTAGTAGTAATCACCTGGAGCAGTCCGAATTGAAAAATTTATGTTAATCGTTTCCTTAATAAGATTACTGTGCCTTCGCTATGCACCCTCTCCTAAATAGAAAATGGATTTTCCCCATTTTCCAACCCACTGTGCGGCTGCTGCGTATTGCGTGCCGCAGTGCTGGTGCTCGCTCAGCGGCAATTCTCGCTGCTCGCCGCCCATCGCACATCGCTCATCATTCTGCACTCGTAGTCGCCGCCGACGGGCTCGTCGTCAGTCTAGAGAGTAATATCGACACGAAAAGTAAGTTCGCCGTGCTTCTGCTGGCCCACCAGCATCGAGTATAGAATCTATATGCGCTGCGGACCCGTGAAACGGGTGGAAAACGTGGAAAATCCATGGCAGACCTCGTCGATTCCACGCGCCCTCTTCGAGCACGTGGCGGAGTGTGGCTCCAGGGCGAAATCGCGGTGGAGTGCGCGTTGCATAAGATTTGCAATTATAATTCTGACGATTCGAATAAGTAAAATATGAAAATTTGATGAAAAATTCGGAAAGTGCTCTAGTTTTGTGCGCTGCCCAGGCCTTTGC